TACCCCACACCATGACTGAACCCCATCTACCCTCTCTGAGGCAGTCTCCAAACACACACCTAAAGCTGCTCCAAAACACTAACACTTACATAATAAATCAGCATAACATGTCTATGTTTAGAATGTTCAATTTTGCAGAATGACATAAAAAATGTTGATGGCCGATGCATATACCGATATCTGGCCGATATTAAACTGATAATCATATATGAGTCATTACAATGTTTCATGTAAAGGGGACATATCATGAAAATCTGATGTGCTATGGTGTCCCCAGTGCTTCCAACAACCCAGAAAACATGAAATCGTGAAACCCACTAATAAAGTAAAGCCTTTCTCTGCAAGCATGTCAAAAAATAAGATGATCAGATTTCACTCTCCTTCTGACGTATGAAGATGATCTTATTATAGCCTAATATTACCGGCCCTTAATTAATTGCATTATTTGGTGCACTAGCTTGTTAACGTAGTCACTCTACAGATTAACTAAATGAGTGCATGTCATATTGCTTTATTAAACCCAAATTTCCCAAAACATAACGCATGAGTAGCCTATGTCTGAACTGCTCAGGTGTCTCGTCCATTGCAGATCACAGCAGTGACTCTGAAGAGCTAAAACACACAGGAACCCAGCGCTGTGTTTCTCACTGATTCGCTGCTTTTGTCACACAGCCCTTTTATATCACAAGCTAAAGACTCTTTGAAGACTTTCATAAATCCAGCGGCTCTGTTTGTTTAGCTGCTGCGTGTGTCCGTGCGTCTTTTCAAACTCCAGACTGTGGAAAGCCGAGCAGATTGTGTTTGTACATCCGTGAGAAGGGCCGAAACCTGAACAAGGGATGAAGAACACAGAATCTACAGCGTTTCACACCGTTTATGTCAATTCTAGTCAGGCGAATGTAAACACCATCCACAAAAGCTGTATTTCCTCGACATCACAAAGAAAGCATTAGCAAACACCCTTTCAAAGACTTCATGTCTTCATTCACTCATTATATCACCGTAAGGCTTTTCCATTTGTCTTACTGTGGCTTTATAGATATAATAGACTGCAGGTATGATATACAACAGAACGGCTGCATTCGGTATAATACACTATAATCCATTATTAAGAAATCTTTCTTGACAAAAGTCAAGATAAAACCACATAAAATGTAATTATACATGCTAAACGGATCATTTGACAGCACTCACTGAATTAAACATGTTAAGTTATGATTGAGGTCATGTGACCATTACATTTTTAAACATTTATATTCCATAACTATTTAAAACATAAACAACAATAATAGTTGTTGACCAAATAATGATGGTGATGCAGAGAAATTATTATTTACAAAAAAAATTAAGGTAAAAAATAACACATAAAACGCCTTAAACTACATAGCAACACCCTGTTAACCACCAGAACACCCTTAAAATGGCAAAGCAACATAGTAAAAAGTTCAGAAAAAAACATAACCACCCAGAACAGCTTAGAAATTTCATAACAATATATATATATATATATATATATATATATATATATATACACACACACACAGTATATTAAAAATGTTTTGAGGAAAAAACACCAAAAAATGTCCTTGATATTAACAATATATAAATGTATAGTTAAAAAGTCTGAGTGAGAGGCGAACACTAAATAAAATAACTCATCCAAAAAGCTGATTCAAACTTTCTATAATGAAGAATATTAAATGTTTTAACTATTATAATCTATCCTTCAAACTTTAACTTTATCCTTCAAACTATTCTTCGTTTTTCTTTTAATAAACACATGAAAAGGGAACAGAAAAGTTTTTGAAATTGAAAAACCATGCAATATTATTGAAAAACATTGATCTAAACTATCAATGCAATTACATGACAGAGAGAATCACTATATTGAATCTTCTGATCGTCTTCTAGAGAGACTTCTTGTGATGCGAGTTTCCTGGATTACATCATAAAGAGACGCTTCAGTAACAGTGATATCTGCCCATCAACACACACACCACAGTCATCATGAACGGGGAACCCTGGGTTTATTATAATCAGTGATCGGTCAGCGCTGGAGGGAGTGATTTGTGTCTAATCAGAGGTCACCGGCTCAGTTCCACTCCCCTCTGATTCCCACAGTTAAGCCCTGATCAGCTTCACTGACTAGTTCTGCCCTTTAGCCCTGACTTCAGATCAGTCTGAATGCTTTAGGTATAGATGTAGACCCCTTATTAAGCTCTTATTATGGTTCCCTCCATATGCTGTGCTTATCAAATGAACAACGGCAGGACTGTCAGGGTCAAAGGTCAAAGCAATGGGAAATGTATAGCATGAGTGTTCGCTAACTCTGCAGTATTAAGATCAGATGTTACTAGAAATGCTGTCAAAACCCCTAAAAAAGGCCAGACACTTTTATGACATGATGCAAGAATGGTCAAACATAGCTAAAACCAAACAAGTGAAGCTGTTTTCTTTTTTACAGCGATGAGATAACATAGAAACTGCATGAAAAGTGGTCAACACCACATAAAATACCTCAGCAATGACATAGCAACACACTGGCAACCTTAACAAACAAACAAACATATACAAGTCCTTAGCCACACCCTGATAACCACCCAGAATACTATAGAGGCTGCATAGCAATGTGGTAGTAAGTTAAAAAAAAAAAACTAGGCAACTGCATAGCAACGCCCTGGCAACCACCCAGACTAATCTAAAACTAGTATAGAATCATTGTAAAAAGTAAAAGCCACATGACAAAACACACTGGCAAAAGGCAACCACCCAGAATACTCTAGACACTGTATAGTAACATGGTAAAAAGTAAAATCCACATCACTCTCAACTCCATAACAATACCCTGGCAACAAAACAGAATACTCAAGAATTCTGCTATTTGTTTTCAGAAAATATAAAAATTATTCAAATAAAATATGTTGAAAAAATATTTTGAGTAAAAACTGAACAGCATAAATAATAAAATAAAATAAAATAAAATACATGAAGTACCTTAGCAACAGCTTAGTAACCACCCAGAATACTCTAGGAACTGCATAGCAATGAGAACCCACACAAAAACCCTGGCAACCACTGAGAAACGGAATGGCAACATTCTAAAAAGTAAAAAAAAAACAAAAAAACATAAAACCTTGGCAACTGCATAGCAACACCTTGGAAACCACCTACAACACCCAATCATAATGTTGAATTTTGCACAGGCAAACTCTACTCACATGTTCAGAAAACATACAGATTAGCATTTCTTTATTTTAAAGCTCACTGCTGCCCTCTATATGCTGTTGGGGAAACTACAGAAACACTAATAATATAATCAAATAAGAGCACATTCACCGTGGTTCTTTACGTTTTCTTTACTGTAAGCTGTTTTCTGTTGTGTGTTTGATCAGGGTTGGAGCTAAACTCTGCAGGGACAGTGGCCCTCCAGGACCGAATTTGGGGAACCCTGCTTTAAAGCATCAACAACTCTAATGAAATCCATCCCAGGTGTTCAACTTTACTTTTTCATTAATGAAATGACATCACACGTGCACCTGGAGCCCCGTCTCAGTCCAACTTCCCATCAGTTTCTTTCACACTACTAACATATAATCCACTTACTTTTCTGCACAGATGCAGCCATGTAATTATTTGTTTAAAGATATAAACGAGCCGAAAGGCCCTCTGGTGGTGTATACATTAAAACTATGACAGATGTGTATAAAACATCCTCTAATACGCTAAAGCCAGCTGTCCCGAGTCAATGGGCCACTGCGGAAGTCTTTGTGTTGAAGCAAACAGTCCAGCTTGTGTACGGCTGGAATCATTAATGTAGTTATGTGTGACTTAAAACAGGTCAGGATTCAGGGCGCATCCTGTTTTCTGAAAAGCTTTCTCAATGAAGCAGGAGGATTTTGGCATCCAGTCTGAAGAATACAGATAGAACGAGAGAATATCCTTCATGAATAACCCTGTGCATCTGAGAGAGAAGAAAAACACTCTTGCTGTCATTGTACATCTCATTCACTCAAGCTGCCTTAAAAAGAAAAATATTTTCAGCACGACAACCAATCGACAACAAGTTCTTTAGGGGTTCTGAAGCATGGCAACCAGCCATAATGATCTAAAAACTACATAGCAATGCCCTGGCAACCACACAGAATAATCTAGAAACTGTTTGGCAACATTGTAAAAAAACAAAACAAAAAAATGCCTTGGCAACACCCTGGCAACCACCCAGAATAATATAAAAGCTACATAGCAACGCCCTGGCAACCACCCAGAATAATCTAAAAACTACATAGAAACACCCTGGCAACCAGCCAGAATCATCTAAATACTACATAGCCCTTGCAGCCACCCAGAATAATCTAACAACTGCATAGTAACATTGTTAAAAGTAAAACATAAAACACTGTAATATACCTTAGCAACACACTGGCAACCACCCAGAATAATTTATAAACTGCATTGCAACATTGTTAAAAGTAAAACAATTATAATAATTTACACGCACAAAAAATAAAAACTCAAAGCAAAAAAGCAACTGCAGAGCAACGCCCTGACACCCACACTGAATTACCAACAATCTGTTAACGTGGTAAACACCACTCATTTAAAAGTAAAGATTCTTCAACGGTTCTGCAGCCTGACAGTATAGTAAATAACCATAAATCAAGAATGATCTTTTCAAGCAAATTACTAAATAACTCTCTTATAGGTTGATCATGAAATTTATTACCATTAAATCCTAAATTTTGATTAATACCCCACTGTATGTACACCAGTGATTGCACATTTCTGTACACCACAGTGTTCTCATGGTGAAAGACTTAAACTCAATTCTAGTACACCACCTAGTGGTCAAACACATACACTGCAACAGGCTCCTGTTCGCTTAACTATAATCTTTTAAATCTATTCATTTCATTTTAGACACAATTGTGAAGAAAAAAAAATAGTAGTAGTAGTAAAAATAACAACAAACATGTGTGTGTGTGTGTGTGTGTGTGTGTGTGTGTGTGTGTGTGTGTGTGTGTGTGAGAGAGAGAGTCTCAACACTGTATACATTAATATCAGTACAATGGCTCATAGAGGACTATGATTGGTCCATCTTGACCAGCATTAGTTTCAAGTTACAGGCCCCACACACAGACACATGGGCCTGACTATAATTCAGCAGAATTAAGGTAGGCAGGTTTGGATGACGTGAAGGAGAGTAAATAATGACAGATCTTAAATGTTTGCATGAACTATCTTTTTCAGAAGGCCTACTCCTTGATATTGTAATAAAGTAAATAAACATGATTTTCCTCCATGCAGCTCCATGAGATAAATCTTACTGCTCAGTATACAGTTTGTTCAGTGCACAGTTTGGATCCTTCAGTAAATCAGAGAGCATCTTGACTCCTGATCCTCCCAGACGATTGAATCTCAGATCCAGCTCTTTCAGGTGTGAGGGGTTTGAACGCAGAGCTGAAGCCAGATAACCACATCCTTCTCCTGTCACCTTACAGCGCCGTAATCTACAAACACAAACAGAAACAATGAAGATATCTAAGACTGTGACATCAGAACACAACAAACGCTTGTTAAAACTTAACTAAACAATTACACATCCATTTAATTTATATAGCCTACTAATGAGATCTCTCTCATTTCAAAAACTAGAAGTTCTGCTGAAAGGAGAATATGGATCTATACAGCCATCTTGCAGATACTGAGGCAGAGATGTTCACAAGTCTTTCATCTGAAATTTGAGATTGATGCACATGCTTGGTTTGTGTTAAGCGGTTGCTGTTTGGAGCTCCGTCAAATTGATTCATAATCCTTGATTTTCTTCTTTACACATTTATAATCAAGCAGTTTTTACTTTTACAGCATGCGAACATATCGTCGATACTATACCTTATAAAGACAATCGATTTGCTTTGATATCGCTACTTATATCCAACTTTACACTACTAATCTTTTGCCCGCTAGCATTGCACGCATGGCCTCTCGATCGTCTTATTTAACGTTATGCCCATATCACTGAAAGGAAATGGGTTCTATCCAGGATTTCACTCCTAAATTAGTAGTGATTTTAGTAGTATCACTACTTATTTTTTGTTCATCTGTTAGAATGGCGAATATATCGGATGTGTGTCTAACGTTACCTCTGAGTGCAGGTGAGGGCACATTTGAGCTAGATTTGGTACAGTTAGAGCTGGAGTCCAAGGAGAAGCAGATCTGTGATCTACTAGAGTGGCAAACCGAGCTGCGAGATCGGCGATCAGCGCTCAAAACATCACGCGCCGATGCTCACAAGCCTGCACGGGTCCGGGTCCAACTTTTGAAATGTACGACGGGTCCGGGTCGGTTCGGTGAGGTCATTATGGGTCTATTCCGGATTGGGCATGAATTTTTGAACCCGTGAAGACCTCTACCTGGGTGATCCCACAGCGGAAGACACGAGCCAGGACCAGAGCAAGAATCTCTCCACCCCTCCCGGCCTTCAAGATCTCCACCCGGAACCGCTTCACCCCTCTACATGAGTCGGAACGCGACAACGGCGTGATCATCGGAGGTTCCATTGTCCGTCATGTCCGCGCTACCTCAGGTAAAGGTAAGGTACGCACTCACAGCTTTCACTGCTTAAATCAGTAATAAATTTCCTCCACGCAGCTCTACTACAGAGTGGTTCATGTAGGTTGTCTAAAAACCGAAAGGTTGGTGGTTCAATCCCGGTTGCACCTGACCAAGTGTTGAGGTGTCCATGAGCAAGACACCTAACCCCAGCTGTGTGTGTGTTTGTGTTTGTGTGACACCTAACCCCGGCTTCTACCGACGAACTGGATGGCGCCTTGTATGGCTATGAATTAGTGGGTGAATGGGAGGAAAAATGTAAAGCACTTTGGTGGCCGTTGTGTCTTTGAAAGTGCTATTATAAATGCAGTCCATTTAACAAAGGAAATCTTTTCCTTCACCCAGCTCTACAACAGAATCTTTCGACATTTCAATCCCCTGTACATTTGCATATGGTAAGACTGAAGACTGAGATTCATCTTATTGCTCAACATACCTGAGTTTATTCAGTGCACAGTTTGGATCCTTCAGTAAATCAGAAAGCATCTTCACTCCTGAGTCTCTCAGATGATTGAGGCTCAGATCCAGCTCTCTCAGGTGTGAGGGGTTTGAACACAGAGCTGAAGCCAGATAACCACAGCCTTCTCCTGTCACATTACAGCGCCACAATCTACAAACACACACAGAAACAATGAATATCTCTGTGAGAAAGAGAGAGACAGAGTGTGTGTATCCGATATGACAAACAATCAATTTTCTTGTCCCTAATAGTCAACATAATGCAGGGGAAAGTGTAAAATGAACTGCAGCAGTGGTAAACTTGCATCATAAAACAACAACACTCGAACTATAAATGTTAAAAACAATGTCTTTGTGCATTTATTTTGTCTCTCTATTTTAGTGGATGCAACACTGAGGTATTTCTGTATACGAATTGAATGAATCTCAGACCTCAGTATCTTCAGGTGACAGTTTGGGCTCTTTAATCCATCAGAGAGCAGCTTCACTCCTAAATCTTTCACGTTATTTTCACTCATGTTCAGCTCTATCAGAGGTGAGTTTGGGGTCTGCAGGGCCAAAGCCACAGTTTCACAGCAGGTGTCATCGAGAGAACAGTTGGAGAGTCTGTAAAAACAGGATATTTGTCCATGACAGGTACAGTATTGTGAGTTTATCTTGTAGGAACAGTGTTTGTAGTAACAGTGATAGGTTATGTCATGTTCTCTGTGAACATTCAAGATTTCGGCAAAACTGTAAATGTAAATAAACATAAATGTCATCTATTCTGGAACTGATATGACGGCCAAGTGAAAATATCATTTAAATTAATGCCTATAAAATCACTGTTTAGTAAATACACTTTAGTAAATACAGACTTTACTCTCTAAAATGAGTGAAACAATGATACTTCACACTGCATATTATGCTAAAGTTGATTTACAGAGTTAAAAACAACAAGTTTCTTACGTTGCTTTTCTGCAGCATCTCACAGCTGGCAGGAGATTCAGGCGGCCTCCCCCTGATGTCCTGTACATACTCAGATTGAGCTCCTCCAGCACCTCCTCTGACATCAGAAGTACATAAGCCATCAGTGAGTACATGGAGGACGAGAGCTTTCTTTCTGGAGATGATTTGAAGTATCTGTGTATTTCTGTATATAATAAATTGTCATTGAGCTCCAGTAAGCAGTAGAACAGGTTGACTGAAGTTTCAGGTGAGATGGAATTGCTCTTATAGCTTTGTAATTGTTCTTTAATGCGTTTGGTTATTTCTGTGACGCTTTCTATGCTCTTTTCAGTGAGTGTGAACAGGCCGCTGAGCAGTTTCTGATTTGATTCCAGTGAAATGCCCAGCAGAAAACGTAAAAAAAGGTCTAAATGTCCTTTCTGACTTTTCATTGCTTTCTCAACAGCCTTCTTTAGTAAATCATATAAAGCAATATTTTTGACTGGCTTGTCAATGTTGAATGGTGTTTTTCTAAGGAAAAACTGCAGCTCGTCCATGTTCTTGTTCAGGTAGCAGAGGAACACGTGGACGGCAGCGAGGAACTCTTGAACGCTCAGATGCACAAAGCAGAAGACCTTCATCTCATGAAGTCCAGCTTCTTGCTGAAATATCTCAGTCAGCATTCCTGTGGACTCAAAGTCTTTACCCACATCAATACCACATGCTTTCAGATCTTCCTCATAGAACACTATTTTTTCCTCCTTCAGCTGTTCAAACGCTAGCTTAGCTAACTTCAAAATCATTGTTTTATTGGAATCTAAGAACTTGGTACGTTCTCTTTCTGTTTTTTTGTCATGCTTCTGGTTCTTCATGTTCATCTGTATCACCAGGAAGTGGATGTACATTTCAGTGAGTGTTGTGTAGATGTACTTTGCATTGTTCCCCATAGGGGCGTCCTGAAGAACAGTGGCTGTGATCCAACAGAAGACGGGAATGTAGCACATGATGTAGAGACTAAGAGATTTCTTGATGTGTGAGATCATTCTGGAGGCCTGAGTCGTATTTTTGATTCTCTTTTTGAAATACTCCTCCTTCTGCTGGTCATTGAATCCTCGCACCTCGGTGAACAACCCTACAAACTCGGGAGGGATCTGGTTGGCTGCTGCTGGTCGTGATGTCACCCAGACGTGAGCTGATGAAAGCAGAGTCCCGTTCACAAGATTTGTAAACAGTTCATCTACAGATGTTTGCTCCTCAACACTCGTCACCGTGCCACTGCAAAAATCCAAAGGCCGACTCTCATCCAGTCCATCAAAGATAAACGCAAGCTTCCTATCATATATCTTACATATCTTTGCTGTTTCCAGGTCATTCAGTTCAGGATTAAATCTCTGTAGAAACTCATGCAGACTGATCTCTCTGTCTTTAATGCAGTTTATCTTTCGGAATGGAAGCAGGAAAACACAGTCTATATCCTGATTGGCTTTTCCTTCTGCCCAGTCCAGAATGAACTTGTGCACTGAGACCGTTTTTCCAATGCCAGCAATGCCTTTAGTTAACACAATCTTTTTCTTATTTTTGTTCAGACTAAATATATCGTTGCATTTGATTGGCCTGTCCTGTGATTTATAGGGTTTAATGGCTGTATCAATCTGCAGAATCTCATGTTCTTGATTTACTTCTTTAAGATCGCCCTCCGTAATGAAGAGTTCTGTGAAAACATCCTTGAGATGTACTTCATTTTCCCTTTTACCCTCAAAAATGTGTTCTACTTTCTCCTTCATGTTCATTTTGTGAGTTTTCAAGAATTCCTGGAGCCAGAAATCTGTTATGCAAAAAAAATAAATATACAGGAAATGGTGTGAACAAAACAACATAAACAAAATTAAACACAAAGTTCCCTTTCAAGGGAACTTCGAGCTATTTAAAGTGTTTTGAGTTATTCGAGCTATTTGGTATTTAAATTCATAGCAGTGAAAGCAGATGTTGTGCACTAAGATCAATATAGCCTACATAAAACAAGCTGAAATAATGTCTGACCCCACTTGTAAGGCCGTGTGTAAGGTTAATTCACCTTGTTTTCTTGTGTGTTTCTCGGCTGCTTCTGATGATTCTTGCACTGTGAAGAAAGAGAATGAAATGAGACTTCATGTTCATCAAAGTATCCTGAAAAATGCTCTGCATCATGTTTCCACACTTCATTAAGCAGCACACGTATTAAACTATTAAATAATCAGCATATTAGAATTATTTCTGAAGATTATTTATACAAGTAATGGTGCTGAAACTTCAGCTGTGAAACTTGCTTTTATGGCAACATTGGATAAAAAAAATATTTAAATAGAAAACAATTTTCTTTAATTGTAATATTTCACAATATTTTAACTATTTCTAAACATATATATGTTTTTTTAAACATACATTTATATGAATCTATGCTATTCTCTATTCCTTCATGTTTTAATATACATTCAAATAGAAAAATTCATTTAAATTGCGATATTTCACAACATTTTAACTATTTTTGATAATTAAATGCAACCTTTGTAAACAATAATCTTTTTTTGAAAATAATCTGAAAATGTCTCTATGCTGCCTCTCGTTCTCTATCATTTCCTTTATTACCGTCAGTCCATTTGTTCTGTAAGTCTTCAGCCAGCTGGTTCTGGTTCATCTCCCCCAGGATGTCCAGTGTTTTCTTCACAGCTTCTTCCAGTCCAAAACACTCCATCATTATATCCACTATATCAGTGACATCCGCCTTCTCCAGTTTACCAGCTCCTACGGCTCCATATTGCCTTAAGAACCACTTAAATTTCTTCAGATCACGTTCTTCCAGGTCTTCTAGAGTATGAAGCAGCAACTCAGACGCCATAGTCTTTCATGAACTGTTGGAGCAAAGGAAAAGGAAAAGTATTTAGATAATTGCACATTTAGCAGATATTTATGCAGTATGTGCAATTAAATGTGCGTAATGAAATGACGCTGTGGCCAGGTCAACTATTATGAAGCAATTTTTTTTTTATGTCAGAGAGGGTCAGAAAGCACACCCTGTTCATTTTCTTTATTTTATAAAGCACACTGTTTTCTTTCGATTGTAAGTGGTGGACACATAAAAAGTAGACATTTAACAGTTTATTTTTTCATATTTCTTAATGAGCATTAATAACAGTATATATTGCTGCTATGTGAAAAAAAAATCCAGCACTGATGAGTCATAAAAAAAACTCACAGTGCACTGCATACGATGACGATTTTAAATCCGGAAGATAAAAATAGCGGGAAAAAAATTCAACTTTTATCATTTTCCCCCTACTATTAAATCTAACAGATGCTAACGTTGTCTTCAATGGTGTTCAACACACATACCTCTGTTAAAATCTCAAAAAAGTGGGTTTAGGGTTTCATGACCCTTTAAGGTCTAAAACGAATTCTTCAGTTTGTTATACAGTTTAAGAGTTATTAGCTTATTAGTAGATAATTGTGTCAAAAATATTCAGCTGAATGTTAGTGATTATTGAGTCTCAACGTGATTAGATTTCCGAAGTACTTTCACATTTTGTCATTCTCTTCTTGAAAGACTTGTCTTTTACATCTCAGACCAGAATGGATTACAAAAATAACGTGACACTGAACATACTATACGTTACTATTCTTAATAATTCAATTTAAAAAAATATGATTAATGGAAAAAATAGTCAGCAGACACCAGAAACACTCACTTACACTCAGAACCTCGATTCAGGCTAGTAAAATCCGATAAAGATCTATTAGTTGTGCTGCATGAATCTTTTGTGATCACTGGAAATATGACAATTAAACATTGGTCAGTAGATTAAGATATTTCCTAACTTACCTTCAATAATGACAATATTTGCAGATGTTTATTTGTCATCTGAAATGGCACCTCGATCATCAAAAGCACATCAACTTCCTTTCACTTTCGTGTTCTCAAGAAGCCTCTCTCAATCTGTGTCCTTGTCTGAACTTGTGTTCTCGGAAATGTCATCTTTTGTGGCCCAAGTACTTTCTTTATTATCAATATAGAGAATTCTAAACGTGCAAACAATTAAGGCATAAATCAACGATCATTCGGTTGTATTCGTGTTGATAGATCACTAAGAAAAAGGAGCACATAAGAAGAAAAGAAAAAAGGGGGTAATTGTGACATGTAACACATGAAATGTGTTAACGCCCATATTGCTTTTTCTAAAAACAAGTTCCTAAAAACAAAGATTTTCTATTACTCAGAATATACCTGTTGTTCCACAGAGGTGTTTTATGTGGTGTAAAGTTGTGGTTAAAGATTAGGTTCCTGTACAAAAGAGCTTGCTGATGGAAATCAGATCATTTAGTTTGTTTAAATCATAGTCAAACTGCAATTTAAAATCTATTCCTCCCATATTTTGGAAAATTGCATTCGGGATTCTAAAACAAAATGAGTTATGGTATGACACACAAAAGAGTTCAACCATTTTCGTTTTAGTACACCATTCATCACAGAAAAATCTATGACATTCATCCTACAACCCTCTTCAATATTCTTAATCATGTCATTTTTCCTGATATAATGGCATTTACCCTTCCAAATATCTTATTTATGTGAAAATTTTAGAGAAAGGCAGGGTAATTGGCTCTTTATGTACTGCATATCAAGAGCCATTTACCCTGCCTTTCCTGTGTTGAATGTGTGTCCGAGATGCTGTAGAAGAACAAAGTCAGTCTAGAACTTTTGCCTACTCTGCAAGTAAATGTCAGAACAGATGAACTCCAAGATATTTTGTTGAATCCAAATTTACAGTGTCTCCTTCCTTTCCTGCTGATTCCTTTACATGTCACTGATATTCATTGACTGACTCCATTCATACCGGTCAAGTTTTGGATTTGAAAATAAGGGAAATTTTCCAGCGCCCACTGCGAGCAGTCCCACCACCCCAACCTAGCTACAGTATCCCTTACATTTTAAGACAGGCCTAACGTTAAATGAAAACACAAACGTTGGGTGTACTGTATATGAAGAGCATTTATTTAAAGGCTTTTTTGCATTTAACATTGCTTGTCTTTAAATATTATTTTCATTCCGCACATTCTTTTAATTTCACACAACTTTTCTTTACTCTTTTAGTGAGTTATTGTACAAATTTGTTGCAGACTTCACATTCTTTAAGATTGTTTTGAAGGACTGTATTTGTGGGCTGGGCCAAAGTGATTAATTTTACATGAGAGTAGAGCGCAAACAGTTGAGGCTCTCACGCTCTCACCCCACACCCCCGATTTCTCACGCTGAAGTGTCAACCAAGTCGGTCAAATGCCTGAAAGATGAGTTTATATATAGGTCTACCAGTTGAGCCACTCGTGATCGACTAGTTTTACCGCAAATTAGTTAAAATATCCTGTAATTTAGAGCGAGGGTGCATGCGAAACAGATGTGTTGAGCTCCTAACGCACGATGGCAGAGAGGTAAATGAGCAAAAGATCTTGCATGTCTTTTTTTTTTTTTTTATAAAGCAGGTTAAAATACACGAGATTTACTAATATGGAAAGAAGAGAAAGAAGAGAAGAAGGGTAAAATACGGGACTTTCCCGGCCAAAACAGGATACTTGACAGGTCTGACTCCATTCAGCTTCCCAGTAACAGTGTCTAGTCAAACTCTCTCTACACAGAACCTGATGATACACATCAAATCTCTCTGGATGATCAGGATACGGCTGGTCCTCACGTGTGTCATGTTTCTGTTCTCCTCAGACTGAATGAGAATGTTTTCTGTTATTGGATCAAGTGTGAGAATACTAGGGTCTGAAGACAAGAAGAGAGAACAAAACAGCATTAACCACAGATATATGTGTGTGTGCAAAGATACCTGTATCATTTTCCATGATTTACACTATAAAACCACACATTTACTTAATGAGGACATTAATTAGAACAAACCCATTATAAATGTTTATTTATTAATATACATAGACATACAAGATTTATGTGTTTTATTGATGAAGCTAATTAAGCAATATCACATTAGCAAGAGTGAAAAAACAGAGAGGATCATGGATAATTGAGGATAATGCTTGTTTATAAGATATAGTGAAAACAGATGAAAGAACCATGTGTGAAAGACTTCAAACATGTGTTAGCTTGTCAAATTGATCCCTAAAGACAATGAAGATGCAGAAGAAGATCCCATGTCTTCTCCCATGTCTGAGGAAGTACCTCAATTGTATGGGAGTATTTTAGTTTTAAACACTATGAAGGAACTCAATCAGAAATGCCATGTAAAACCCGTACAGAAGATCATGTGCAGTCACTCAAAGACTCGTTCAGAACCTGTATGGATTTCTTCTGCCGAACACAAAAGATGATATTTTGAAGTTTTGGTGACCACTGATTGAAAAAAAAGTCTTGTTTTGTGCTCCACAAAATAAAGGCATACAGGTTTGGATGATGTGAAGGAGAGTAAATCATGACAGATCTTAAATGTTTGCATGAACCATCAGAAGGCCTACTCCTTGATATTGTAATAAAGTAATAATTTCCTCCACTAAAATAATAACTACAGACCCTTTCAACATTTCACTCCACTGTACACTTATATATGGCAAGACTGAAATACAAATATTCACAGGATGAGATAAATCTTACTGCTCAGTATCCAGTTTATTCAGTGCACAGTTTGGATCCTTCAGTAAATCAGAGAGCATCTTGACTCCTGATTCTCCCAGACGATTGTCCCTCAGATCCAGCTCTCTCAGGTGTGAGGGGTTTGATCGCAGAGCTGAAGCCAGATAACCACAGCCTTCCTCTCTCACATCACATTCACATAATCTACAAACACACAAAAACAATGAAGATATCAGAGACTGTGACATCAGAACTCACAACAAAAGATTGTTAAATCTGTTGATTAATTACACATCCATTTAATGTAAACTGATAAAAGAGATCTCATTTTCTCATGTTCTGCTGAACAATCAAGCATATAATTGTTAATCCTTAAAGTACAATTAATGCTTATGGTTCATTTAAAATTCATAGAAAATCCGCCTCAAGAACAGCTGAACAGAAACAAAAGTTATTTTTCATGGATTACATTTTTATGATTTTATTTTGAATTTTTATTGAATTGCAATTCTGCTTCCTTTAATTCAAATTCGAATTGTTATTCTAGATCACATCAGTTCAGATGACATCAATTCATCAGTTAGATGACATCAATTCAAATTCAAGAATTGAATTGGAATTCCGGGAGTCATTCTCAATTCAATTCTGAATTGTGAACAAGCCTGAAATATACTATTTGATTTGCACAATTTGAGTCAGATTATCTAATAACAAAGAGATGGAACTTTAATTTGTTTATCTTAAAAACGTACAGCAAGATTTGACGCCATCTGTCATGAGTGGACATAATGGGGAGAAAACGTCCCTATTTCAATACATATTTAATTGATTTTATCATCATCGTCTTGCTTGCAGTAATATTGCAGGATCATATTAGTATACATCTTATTAATAACATACAATATACGGGCAAATAGATGAACTCGGAATATGAATGCAACGTGCAAAGTTTCATGTAAATTCTTTCCCCAAAGTAAACCATTATAAAGAAAAACAATTAATGCAATTTAGTGCACTGTATTTAAATTCTGGGTTCATCTGCTTGCCTGTATATATCAAGCATCATCAATACTGTGTGTAAGGAGTTTGATATATTAAAATCACTGTCTTACTGCATTAAGGCACATTAAGTATTTTCATTTCATAACATCATACTTTATAATGCCATACATTTTATGTAATTTCAGTAAATTCATTCAAACCTTTATTTAAGCAGGTTAAAAACTCCTTGAGATTAAAAAAATCGCTTTCAGCAGTGTCCTGGCAGTAATACTGAGGTGGGTGTTGTATAAGGAAATAAATGTAATACTGAGGTGGATGTTGTATAAGGATTGAATGAATATCAAACCTCAGTATCTCCAGCTGACAGTTTGGGCTCTTCAGTCCATCAGAGAGCAGCTTCACTCCTGAGTCATGCAGGTCATTGCCACTCATGTCCAACTCTCTCAGGGGTGAGTTTGGGGTCTGCAGGGCCAAAGCCACAGTTTCACAGCATTTGTCAGTGAGATCACAGGAGGAGAGTCTGTAAAAACAAGACATTTGTCCATTGCATGATTAAAGTCAAGTACTCGATTTAAAAAAAATCCTTGATTGCAATTCCAAGTGTCGAGTAACCATTAAAAACTGGAAGTGGTGCGTTCCACAGACGAGAATCAATGAACTGCATTATTCCACCATTTTCTAAGGCTATGTGTTATATTTAAAACCATTTACAATCATACCATAGCATAGTGCTATAGTAATATCACAGAGGGTGCGATTCTGTAAAATAAATAAAAAAATGTCCACAGAGAAGCATGCCGCTTTACTTACATGTGTGCAGATTGCATGCTACTTACTTTGCTTTTCTGCAGAATCTCACAGCTGGCAGGAGATTCATGTGACCTCCCCATGATCTGTACATCCTCGTGTGTCTTCCAGTTGATTTACTCATGTACATACTCAGGTCGAGCTCATCTAGCACCTCCTCTGACATCAGCAGAACGTAAGCAATTAATGAGTACATGGAAGGCGAGAGCTCTCTTTCTGGATATGATGTGAAGTGTTTTTGTATTTCTGTATATAATGAATTGTCATTGAGCTCCAGTAAGCAGTAGAACAGGTTGACTGAAGTTTCAGATAAAATGTCGTCATAGCTTTGTAATTGTTCTTTAATGTGTTTGGTTATTTCTGTGACGCTTTCTTTGTTGTCTTCAGTGACCGTGAACAGGCCTTTGAACAGTTTATGATTCGATTCCAGAGAAATGCCGAGCAGAAACCGCAAAAATAGGTCTAAATGTCCTTTCTGACTTTTCATTGCTTTCTCAACAGCCTTCTTTAGTAAGTAATCTAAAGTAATATTTGTGTCTGGCTTGTCGATGTGGTCAGGCCTGACCTCGAATTGTGTTTCAAGGAAAAACTGCAGCTCGTCCATGTTCTTGTTCAGGTAGCAGAGGAACACGTGGACGGCAGCGAGGAACTCTTGAACGCTCAGATGCATGAAGCAGAAGACCTTGTTTTCATGAAGTCCAACTTCTTGCTGAAATATCTCAGTCAGCATTCCTGTGGACTCAAAGTCTTTACCCACATCAATACCACATGCTTTCAGATCTTCCTCATAGAACACTATTTTTTCCTTTTTCAGCTGTTCAAACGCTAGCTTAGCTAACTTCAAAATCATTGTTTTATTGGAATCTAAGAGCTTGGTACGATCTCTTTCTGTTGTTTTGTCATGCTTCTGGTTCTTCATGTTCATCTGTATCAACAGGAAGTGGATGTACATTTCAGTGAGTGTCGTGTTAATGTTTTCGGCATCATTCCCAATAGGGGCGTCCTGAAGAACAGTGGCTGTGATCCAACAGAACACGGGAATGTAGCACATGATGTAGAGACTACGAGATTTCATAATGTGTGAGATCATTCTGGAGGCCTGAGTCGTATCTTTGATTCTCTTTTTGAAATACTCTTTCTTCTGCTGGTCAGTGAATCCTCGCACCTCGGTGAACAACCCTACAAACTCCAAAGGGATCTGATTGGCTGCTGCTGGTCGTGATGTCACCCAGACGTGAGCTGATGGAAGCAGAGAACCGTTCACCAGACTTGTAAACAGTCCATCTACAGATGTTCGCTCCTCAAAATTTGTCACCGTTTCACTGCAAAAATCCAAAGGGAGTTGACTCTCATCCAGTCCATCAAAAATAAATGCAAGCTTACAAGTATATATCTGACGCATCTTTGCTGTTTCCATTTTCTTCAGTTCAGGATTAAATCGCTGTAGAAACTCATGCAGACTGATCTCTTTGTCTTTAATGCAGTTTATCTTTCGGAATGGAAGCAGGAAAACACAGTCTATATCCTGATTGGCTTCTTCTTCTGCCCAGTCCAGAATGAACTTGTGCACTGAGACAGTTTTTCCAATGCCAGCGACACCTTTGGTCAGCACAATCTTTTTCTTTTTTTTTTCAGATTAAATACCTCATTGCATTTGATTGGCCTGTCCTGTGTTTTATAGGGTTTAATGGCTGTATCAATCTGCAAAATCTCATGTTCTTGATTTACTTCTTTAAGATCGCCCTCCGTAATGAAGAGTTCTGTGAAAACATCCTTGAGATGTACTTCATTTTCCCTTTTACCCTCAAAAATGTGTTCTACTTTCTCCTTCATGTTCATTTTGTGAGTTTTCATGAATTGCTGCAGCCAGAAATCTGTTATGCAAAAAATATAAATGTACAGGAAATGGTGTGAACAAAACAACACTATCAAATTAAACACAAAGGTTTTTTAGCATGATTATAATTAAAATCAACAGGTGCAAACATATGGCGCTAAGGTTCATAGTACTAAAAGCAGTTCTTTGCTGAGATCAATATGCATCCAACATACTAAAATGATTTCTGATACCACTGTAAGGACATGTATGGAAGAAAAATAATGACAAATGTATTTGAAACAAAAAACATGTTGAATTGAACTAATTGAAAAATAGATGGATTTTAGACCCAAAACTGCGAGCCCTGAAAATACAATGCATTAAAATGCAAGCATGGTTATGCGATGGATTTTTTTTCATTTAATGGAATTTAACATGTTTTGTTCGAAATACATTATTTTGCTTCCATGTGGATGTGTGTAAGGCTAATTCACCTTGTTTCTCAGCTGATCCCGATTTTTGCACTGTGAGGAGAGAGAAAGGAAAGAGACTTTATGTTTATCAAAGTATCCTGAAAAGGGCTCTGCATCATGTTTCAACACTTCATTAAGCTGCAGAAAAACTATTAACTAAATCAGCATATTAGAATTATTTCTGGAGGATCACGTGACACCGAAAATTCAGCTAAGTTTTCCTGTGATCGCAACATAGGAACATTTAATTTTTTTTAAAAGATATTCAAATAGAAAAGTTATTTTAAATTGTAATATTTCACAATGTATTTAAACTATTTTTGATAATTAAATGCAGCCATGGTTAACAAGCCTTTGTAAACAATAATCTTTTTTGAAAATAATCTGAATATGTCTCTATGCTGCCTCTCGTTCTCTATCATTTCCTTTATTACCGTCAGTCCATTTGTTCTGTAAGTCTTCAGCCAGCTGGTTCTGGTTCATCTTCCTCAGGATGTTCAGTGTTTTCTGCACAGCTTCTTCCAGTCCAAAACACTCCATCATTATATCCACTATATCAGTGAAATCCGCCTTCTCCAGTTTACTAGCTTCTACGGCTCCATATTGCCTTAAGAACCACTTAAATTTCTTCAGATCACGTTCTTCCAGGTCTTCTAGAGTATGAAGCAGCAACTCAGATGCCATAGTCTTTCATGAACTGTTGGAGCAAAGGAAAAGAGAAAGTATTTAGATGATTGCACTTATAGCAGATATCTATGCAGTATGTGCAAATAAAAGTGCGTAATGAAATGACACTGTTGCCAGGTCAACTATTATTAAGCATTTTTTAAAAACTAAAACTAATTCTTCAGGTTGTTATTCAGTTTAAGAGTAGATAACTGTTACTAAAATATTCAGCTGAATGTTGGTGATTATTGAGTCTCAACATGATTAGATATCAGAAGTACTTTCACATTTTGTCATTCTCTTCTTGGAAGACTTGTCTTTTACATTTCAGACAAGACTGGAATAAAAAGAATAACGTGAGTTACAACATTTATTATTATAATTAAATAATAATAAAAAAAATATGATTAATGGGAAAAATAGTCAGCAGACACCAGAGACACTCACACTCAGAGCCTCGTTTCAGGCTAGTAAAATCCAATAAAGATCTATTAGTTGTGCTGCATGAATCTTTTGTGATCACTGGAAACATGACAATGGTCAGTAGATTAAGATATTTCCTAACTTACCTTGAATAATGACAATATTTGCAGATGTTTCTTTGTCCTCTGAAATGGCACCTCGATCATCAAAAGCACAGCAACTTCCTTTCACTTCCGTGTTCTCATGAAGAAGAACTGTTTTTTTTTTCAGCAAGTTTGTTTTATAGTCTAGACTAGTCGTAGTTCTTCTCTGTAATCTCAAATGGTAAAAATCGCCTTTTAATATATAAAACTGACTTTTATAGCACCACGTGAAACGTGAAGATCCCTGTTTACATATTTTATATGCAATATCATTTAGTTTCGGTTTAAAGCGGATGTTGTAGGAACGGGAAACGAACACAGATCGAGGAAGTTACTCAATCTCGGAAAACACAAAATGACCTGAATGTGAGTGAACTCTTCCGGAGAGATTCTGCGTGTGTTTATTAAGAGTAAACTCGGTTCGGTTCGGCATGTGTGACGTCACGCGGGCCACGCTGGTTCGGAAGCTCCGGTTCTCCACACTGCGGGCTTTATCTGACCTGCTGGACCCGCAGGAGACCTGGAGGAACGTCATGATGGACATCAGCGGAACCACAGGAGAACCCAGATACTCACAGCTGCACATCCGGTAGGCTACAGCCTCCTCATCATCATCCTTAAAGCTTAAAACTTTTCTATTCACATTTTTAAAAGCTACTTAAATGCCCAAATTGAACCAAGGGCAAATATTGGCTTAATCTAAGACTGGCTGTAAAAACATTTTATTTCAGCTTTTTATTTGATAGTTTTAGTGAACAATTTCAACACTGTTGGTATCCGCCTGTTCAAAACCCACAGCTACAGTCCTGGGGTGTTTGGGATGGTTGCTATGCAGTTGCTAAGATGTTCTGTATGGTTGCTATGTGTGGTGTCATGTTTCAGGAGGTTTGAAGCAGCAGTTCTCCAGGGAAAGAGTCCCACGATGGAGATGCTGTTCGACTGGGGAACCACAAACTGCACTGTTGGAGATCTGGTGGAGATTCTGGTCCGACACCAGCTGTTCGCCGCCGTCAGCGTCCTGCTGCCAGAAGATCAGATCTGCCACACTAAAGCAGGTATTCTGACCTGTTCTGAGAATCTCAGGATACGTCTACATTAATGTTTGACATCTGTTTTCCTGCATGTATCTTTAAATGCAAATGAGCTGCTTCTGCCCCCGCCCCCTTTCCAGAAGAGGGTGGGGCCTGTACAGCTCATGCCTCGGATACTCTGCCGAAAACTAGAACATCTGTTTGGTTTTGATCATCATCTCTATCGTGTGACATTGCTTATCATCATGGAAGTTTATCTCCTGTATTCGTTTTAAAGTCACATGAGTCTAAACTTCTTATTTATGGTTTCTTATTTCTATTTATGGTTATTTATGGTAAGCTGTGCTCGTTTTTTCTCCTCTATTGTGTCATATATCGAGTGAACTACTTCTGGAACAAGAACAAATGTGGGCGGGGCTTGATTGTGTCTGTGGGAAATTGGTTGGATGGTTGTGGTTTGCTATTGGCTGATCTCATGTGAGTGACAGGTTAAAGCCCCGCCCTCATCCTAAAGAAAAGATCCTTTAAGAGGAACTTACAGTATTTCAAGTCAAGATTATTAACACAATAATGATGTGCACCTATAAATCATTTATAATAAACACTTTTGAAATCAGGCTCATCTGGAGTATCTGTCTGCGCAGCGCAGCGTGAAGAAGTTCGCCTGTCCGCCTGTCCCGAGGTCCCTAAACCCGTTCAGCAGGAGACGCGTGTGATGGAGCCGGACAGCAGCACCGGACCCGAGGAGAACACATGGAGCAGCTCTGAAGGTCTTTATATAACCACATCCGACAGCCGTTGCCCATCAGTCCCTGAACCCCTCTCTCACTCAGGGTTCCACACATTCTCTCACCGTGAGCTGACGGTCATCACCAGCGATTGGGACGATCGCCCCCTGGTGGACGGAGGCTGTCGGCTCGGCTCCGGTGGCTTCGGCGTCGTCTTCAGGGGCCGGATTGGAGACACTTATGTAGCTGTGAAGAAGCTCAATCCTGTGAGTTTGACCTCAGTACTTCTGTGAAATACCACTAAACTATCAAATCAACAAGTTTCATGTGTTTGATAACCGTTTTACTTCTGCGTTTGAATGAAAGTAGAGAGTAAATATGATCTAAACAAAGTTAAAAAGCATCATGGGAACATTTGTTTTGTTCTAGATGGATGACGGCTCACTCGAAGACATGAAGACTCAGTTTAATCAAGAAATTCAAACTCTCAGGAGGTACAAATATATATTAGAAAATAATTATAAATATAAAATGACTTTTTTTGATTACATTTTGAAAAATGTATTTTTCTATGTAATTTTATTATATATAAAATATTACATGTAATGTAGAATCTATAAAAAATCAAACATTGTTCTATAAATATATAGAAATATATATGCGTGTGTTTAAAATGTCTTATAATCTAATTAAAAATATATTTAAAAAAACGATTATCAAACTTGATTAAAATAAAATGCATAAATCATTTTACACACACACATATATTCATATGTGAATGAATAAATGTATATAGGAAAAAAATATATTTTTTTAAGTCTTCTGTTATTTCATTCTTCATTGATTCACCAGTTTTTTGGATTGAATTTTTATTGAATATGAATTTGTTTCATTCCTCATTTAAGTCGCTTTGGACAAAGTATCGGCAAAAAAAGAATAAATCCATGAAAACAATCCCAAAGTGACAAACTCCATACAGGGTTGTGTTGGGAGCATTATAGATGCGTTTATGTGATCTCCTGTGCTGGTGGGTCTCTCTCTCTCTCTCTCTCTCTCAGTCTGAAGCATGAGCATCTGGTGGAGCTGCTGGGGTCCTCCAGTGAGGGGCAGCACATGTGTCTGGTGTACTCCTTCATGCCCCAGGGCTCGCTGCTGGACCGGCTGGCGTGTTCGGGCGGATCTCCTCCTCTCTCCTGGCGGAGCAGATGTTGGATCAGCACCGGATCGGCCCGAGGTCTGCAGTTCCTGCACCAGAACAACCACATCCATCGAGACGTCAAGAGGTGAGCGACACTTCTTCTGCTCTAATGTCACCTGGTTTCTGTTTTACACACAAGTATTTTTTTAAAGTATTTTTTACACACAAGTATTTTTTTAAGTACAAGTATTACGTTTTCAAAAAACATTTAATTTTCACATTATTTTAAAATAATTTAACTTCAAAACTCAAATTTAGTTTTGGTGTCTTGATAAGTTTACAATAATTCAGCTTTGATCACAGGAATAAATTACACTTTACTATACTATATTCACATAGAAAATCATAATAATATTTCCAAATATTTACTGTATTTATTTCTTCTGTTCGACAGCGCAAACATCTTGTTGGATGAAGGCTTGGTTGCGAAGATCTCCGACTTCGGTCTGACGCGAGCTTCAGCCAAACAGTCGTGCTCGACGGTCATGACAGAGAGGATTGTGGGAACGACGGCCTACATGGCGCAGGAGGCGTTGAGAGGAGAGATCACTCCTAAATCAGACATCTTCAGCTTCGGCGTGGTGTGTTATTATTACAGTCGCATGTTTTTTCTGTCTTTTTTCCCTGTTGTATCGTATATCTGAGTGAAACCAGAGTGTCTAATAAGGGGAGAACGCCCACTCTCAGGTTGCAGTTCCACTCTGGTTCCACATGAGGGCGCTCACAGGACGAGTGCATTATGAATGGAGGTCTATGGAGATATACCCATAGATAACCATAATCTCGTCCGTGCTGCTGGCCAATAGAGGTCGACGTCAGCACCTGGCGGCCATCTTGCCACAGTCAGCTCGCCCACTCATAATATTGCGTTTTAATGGTGCATTCACTGTTTAAATAACCATAACTTGCTACATTTTCTACCGATTTTCAAACGGTTTGGTTTGTTATAAACATCAGAGATGTAGTACTTATGAATAACAAGTGTATAAATAAATAATCATCCAGAATTATAGCCACGTTAATAACGTTTGTAAGAAACCAAACCGTTTGTAAATCCGTCAAGATTTAAACGAGATAAGAGTATTTGTGTTCGTGCTGATCACTCATCTTACATCAGGAACCACAGAGCCCGCCAGAAAGCTTGCCTGTGACAAGATGGCCGCCGATGATGACGATAGAGACTCCGCCGTAAGACATCTAGCTTTTATTATGGATATACCCCTTATAATCCTCTTTTCTCAGTATATATTTTCTTTCTAGTAATTTAAACACATTTTTAGAGTCACTTATTTACTTTACAAAGTCTTTTAAAATGTCAATGACATCATACACATCGTTCGACCAGAGATACTGCTTAACGGCAATCCTTCAGTCACATTCTTGTCCGGATGCCACGATACCATCAAGCAGTGTCTCTGGTCATAATCGGTCCTTCACTGACCAATCAGCGTTCATTAGCAGAATGCTAGCGTGCTGTGGGCAACAACAACTCAACCTGTAAGAAATAAAAAGGATTATGTACTCGTTCATTCAACTTTCCACCTATAACCCATGTTGAACTTGCAAAACCTACAGTCAAATCTGAGATTTCTCAATGGCAATCGGGTGAAAGAGACACATTTAGCCGTTTAGCTCCATAGACTCCCATTCACTCGCACTCGGGCGATCGCCCCCAGTGGAACTCTGGTGGAACTACAACCACAATTCAGTACAATAGGACTTAATAGGGAGTGGCCAGGCTCTCCGTAGACGGGCTCTGGCGAAACGCTTCTGGGTTTCAAATGTGGGCGGGGCTGTGGGGAATTGATGTCATGTGAGTGACAGGTTGACAGAAAACCACAGGAGCTTTTAAAATACACTCTTAAAAATAAAGATTCCCAAAGGGGAAAGTTTGGAAACAGAAGAACCATTTTTGGTTCCCAGAAATCCTATTGTATTTAATTTAATTTAATTTAGGGGAAGTTATTCTGATTCACGATTGAGTTCTACTTCTGTGTTTATCCTTCAGGTGTTGCTGGAGGTTTTGTCTGGTCTTCCTCCGGTGGATGAAAGCCGTGATCCTAAACTACTGGTGTGTTTGTGTGTGTGAACGTTCAGTCAGAGCTTCTCCAACTCTCCTCGTCCGTCTGTACAGCTCAGTCACCTGTGTGTGTGTGTGTGTGTCAGATGGAGATGAAGGATGAGATCGAGGATGACGAGGTCTCTCTGCAGGACTTCATTGATAGTAAGATGGAGGGATGGCAGATGGAGGATGTGGAGAAGATGTATGACGTGGCGTCTCAGTGTCTGTGCGAGAAGAAGAACAGAAGACCCACCATCACACAGGTGTGTGTGTCCAAGTGTCTGTGAGAATGTTTTTGTGTGTACCAGTGTGTGTGTTTCTGAGAGCTTATACATGTTTCTCCATTTAAACTGTAATGCTAATGTAAATGTATAATATGTTAAACACACATGTGTGTATATATATGATTTGTGAATGTTCAGGTCCTCTCTGAGCTGGAAGATCTTCATCTCAAACTTTCCCAGAGCTCCGGATGATCCGCTCGAGGTAAATCAACACTTTCAGTGCAATCGAGCGTGATGAAATGAAGGACGGGCCATTCAATGATTTAAATACTTTATTTTTCTCTAAAAACCAAGTATTTGAGACGTCTGAACACAGACAGGCTACATGTGAAGCGCCGGAGCGTCTGCGTCAGCACAGATGTTCAACAGTGGTTTGCCAAACGACAGTAGATACTCAACATAGTTCTGACCTAGCAGTGAACACACACACACACACGCACACACACACACGTCTTCCCTTTTAACATACTTTCAACTGAATAAGTCTGTGTCCTGATGCGGCTTCACAGTTGAGTGGGAAACACAAGAGACAAAAACATGTTCAAACAAAATTGCATAGAAAAATGAGCATCCTGGAACTTGAGAACGAAACACGGTCATATCAAAAAATGTGAATGCGGTAAAAAAGTACGTGACGTGAGTTCGTTTCGAACCGTCAGACGTGAGCAAGATGAACATGTGACTCGTGTTTGGTAAAAAAAGACAATGTACGACAATGTAACAAAATAAGACTGGATAAAGGAATGGCGAATGTTTCGATCTTGAGTTTGGCACGGTTTAAAATCACAAAAGCTTTTCTGAGTTTCATTGATCATTTGTTAAAATAATTCTTTGTTCGGGTTAATAGGAAAGTCGCTGAATTGAAGCACTCCTCATGATGGGCGTTTGTGTAATGGTGCATAGTTCAGCGCATGGCTTCCTGCAGGGGATTGTGGGAAGTACGCGCTCGACAGCTTGGTGGCCTCTTGGGTTTAACGCTAAGGCTAGGCTAGTCGTCGGCGGGCCGCGTGATCCTGCGGTCGCCCCTCCGGCCCGGTGGCCCGCGCGGTTTAGCGAAGGCCTGCTTGTGCGCGTGTTGCTTGGGATGAACCTCGTCGTACAGGAAGTCAGCCGTCAGCTCGTCGCCGTTATCGATCTCCAACTGCGGAGGAACACGTACAGTTTAGCCTACACTTTTAGATCACGCTCAACATTTAGATGGGGGTTGTTTAGAATTTGAAATATTAAATAAATTAATTAAAATACAATATATAAAATAAAATACAAATATAAAAATAAAGGAACTATTTTTATTCCTTCTAAATTTAATAAGAATACAAAAAAATCAAGTAAAATCAAATAAAATTCCTAATTTAATTAGGAATTTTATAATTTAATTAGAATTATTATAAAAGTTAAACATTATTTTAGGATCATTTTAATATATATATATATATATATATATAAATAATGTATTAAAATTATCCTAAAATAGTTTTACATGTTCTATTTTGTAAATTAATTTAAATATATATTTTTTCAATTAGTATTTTATGTATATAAAATAGTAATTTAAATGAAAAAAGAATTAAGTAAAATCACATAAAATTATAATAATAATTATAACATAATTTATTTTGTATAAATAATAAATATAAATAAATAATTAAAATAATTAAAAAATACAAATATAGGATATAATTAGAAATAAAATCATGTTAGCATCCTTTTAAATGTTTTAAAGTTATAATAGGTTAATGTAATATATATATATATATATATATATATATATATATATATATATAAATGTATTCCTAATATAAGAAGTAAAATAAACTAAAATTAGAACAAAAATTATAAAAAGATCATTTAAAATCATGATACATTATTTTTTTTATCTTGATAAAATATTTTAGGATACTTAAAAAATATAAAATAATTATTTGACATAATAAAAATAAACTGAATATTTCTCAAAAATTAATCAAAATTAATTTTGGCATTACTTTACAATAAGATTTCAATTTGAAAAAGAAATTAAGTAATTTGATAATTATTAACAAATACTCATGTTTAACCCCAGCAGTGCTCTATGGCGCACAAAGCACACACACCTTCTTCTCCACCTCCATGTGCAGTGTGTTCTCCACCATGTCCAGCAGAGGGTTCTTACAGCTGGAGTACAGCATGCGCTCACGGATCCCACAGCTGTAGCCCGGCATGGAGTAGATGAACACTGCCGACCCAGAGCGAGAGGAAACATGTCACTTCACTGATCAGACATCAGCAGTCTACAGGTCAGGCTGACCAAAACTCACACTGTTCACATGTTAATGTTAAAAATAAGATGTTGTAATCACATTAGTTGTGCTTGGAGTCGATTGTTTTATTTGTGATGATAACAACACAATGGAACATGACAAATTGTGCTGACATAATATTGGCTGGACTGTCATACAAAGAAATTATGAACCAAAAAAACAAATGAAATATTAATAACTGACTATGTTTGCTTTTTCCTGTTAGCTTTTTTTCAATGCTTTTTTTTGGGGGGAGGGGGATAGTAAAATAAAACTTAAGTAGCTGTACTTTGCCTTTTTTGTGCACAATAATTTTGTCAGATAAGTACCTTAATCAAATTTAGTGTTTTGTTTTTCGTTCACACATATATATATATATATATATATAAAATAAAATTGATATAGCTCTATAACAATAATTAACAATTCTTAATGATAACTATAAAGATAACATTAACTATCACGATATCTATATATTAGCATCCACACCAGCGCATGATATTGTTCTGTTTATTAAAAGCGCTGCAGTTTTTGTTGTCTGTCGCTTTAATTAAATTTTAAACTCTTTAAAGCAGGGCAGATTCTGATTGGCTGTCAATGTTTTATAGTTCATAATCTGGTTCATAATCTCGTGCCGTTATCGTCATAGTTGTGCTGTGCTATGCTTTTACATGTAGAACATTTTTTAGAAAGATATCGTTATCGCTATCACTATGGTCCCGTATGTGGCGGGAGAAGCACCTGCAGACTCCAGGTAGTCGCCCTCGTGCGAGTGTTTGTAGCGGAAGAAGTGGTATCGCGCCGCGTCTTTCGGGATCCTCCGGGGCAAGTCTTTCACCTCCGTGGCGTCCGTGTTCGACAGCATGATCAGCTCCTGCTCAAAGTTGATGATCTTTGGAGACAATATCAATTATCAACCAAAAATCTCTCTCCCTCTTTACTGTGGATAACTGCTGAATGAACGTGTGTGTGTGTGTGTGTGTGTGTGTGTGTCTCTCACCAGCTGAACATAGTTGATTTTCTTGTCCTTGAACTTCTGTAACGCGGTTAAGGCCTCTCCGTCCAGAGGGAACGCCACGCCCTGAAGAGTCTGCTTCGTAGTGTTCACGTGAATATCTGTCTGGATCTGCGCACACACACACACACACACACACACACGGAGCGACTGAGTAATAACATTCATTCTCATTTATGCATTTTTCCAGAGCGACTTCCATTGTAAATATATTTGATCAGTTTATGCATTCGTTTGGATAAAAAAGCACAAATGCAGTTAAAAATAACGTTCAGGTTCATTTAGTGTGTGTGTGTGTGTCTCTCGCTTCACGTCACAGGGTTATGTCCAGCCATGATCTGTTCTAACTGTGCTGGCAATTATACACATTAAACACTTGGATGGCATTAAAATATTAATAATATATAATATAATAATATAAATAATAAAAGAACGTCAAATTAGAAATAAAATGATAAAAATAACAATAATACACGATTTTTATTCCTAACTTAATTTTTAATAGTGTATATTTTCAAGGTAACAGTATAATTTTTCTGAAAATCCTGCTGTAATTTACTGTATGTATATAAAGGTAATTTATTCAGCGCTGTCAGATCTTATTTTAATCCTACAAGAAGGCTTTTTAAGGAAAATGAAACCTCCACTTCCTGTTTGTGCTGTATTCTGCTCTGATTGGCTGGTTTCAGGAATGGGGCGGGCCAGAGAGTTTCACTTCATGTTCTTATATGGTCGTGAGTTTGGGACTGATGATTCCCTCTCAGTCACTTGACCAACAATCATCATCATCAGTATAGTGTCACTCACTTTTAAAAGACCCTTACATTTTTAAAAGACACATTTATTTTAAGACCCTTACAAAAATGCGTATATTTTATTTTGTATTAAACTTTATTTAAATTGTATAAATGTTTTATGTTTAAATGATAAATATATTTTCATTTGATTGTTGATCATTCAATAAACGTTATTTTCAGTTTCAGCTCAAAAATAGCAGACAAAATCCAACTACTGATCTTAAAGTGTGTTAGTAAATGCCTGTGTGTGTGTGTGTACCTCGCTGAGTTTAATCTGTCGCAGTTCCTCCTCCGCTGCTGTCAGTGGTACAGGGGCCGATTGAGCTGTGACGTGTTTCTTGTATCCGCTCAGAGAAACATCATCCTGACACACAGACAAACACACTTTATACAAACTTAAAATCATAAATCTCATGGAAATGCAAACTTTGATTCATCATCTTCAGCTTTGGTGAGCAGAAGAGACTCTTTCAACAACAATAAAACATCTCTCAGACTCCAAACTTGTGTATAACTAACTAAATAGCTCCATTGTAAGACACTAGTCTTCATCGGGTGTGTGCATCGAGCCACACACACACACACACACCTTGACGGTGCCGAACATCTCATCTTTAATGTGTGCGAGGCCGAACTCCTTCTTCAGCGTGGCTCTGGTGGCGGCGTACAGCATCTTGTGCCGAACCTGTTAGAAAACAACATGACAGACTGTGAACTCAAGCACACACACACACACTCAGCAAACACTTCCATCTGGAGACTGACGCGATGATGAAACCAGAAACAGAGATGATTATAATAAACATATACAGATGACTGGCTAATAAGTGATGAAGAGTAAATTAATTTAAAGCAACTAAACCAGTACAACAAAAATACAACAATACATTATTAATAAAATTATTTTAAATTCTTACAAATATTATTAAACATTTATAATAATGTGTTTTATGATTATATGTAAAATAATTATTATTAAATAAATAATTAATAGCCAACTTAATACTATGACAATAATAAAATATATAAAATATATTATTCATTCTAATTATGTATTTAGTTATTAATTATGTATGTATTACAAGATAATATATTCTATTTTATAATAATATATTTACATAATATTGACATGGCAAGGTATATATTTATAATAATAATAAAAAATATAATATATAATAAACAATATATCATAAAATATAAAAATTCTAAATAATTCCTATAATAATAATAAATTAAATATTAGAAAAGTACTAAGAATATTATAAAGTAATGGGAGAAGTCAGTTTCAGCATCTGTTTCCAGATCAGTTTCCATTAGAGAAGCAGGTTCCAGATCAGTTAATCTCCACAGAACACACTGCTAGAACTGAGGAGGATCAGTGTGTAAACGAGTGAAGCAGGTTCCAGATCAGTGTGTATGAGCTCGACACACAGACATCAGTGACGTGCCTGAACATGCGCGAGAATGTGTGTAAGAATGGGAAAGCTCCTCATTACACTGATCTGAAGAGTGTGTGTCTCGATTCTCCCTCGGTCAAGTGACCAGGCGTTGAAGAGTGTGATGTACAGTGATGTCTTACAGGCGAGTGGTCAGGTGACCAGGCGATGAAGACCCACTCATGACCCAGGCTGTTGCTGGAGTCCAGCCGGAAGAGGATGAAGCACGGCAGGTCTTTCTCCAGCGCCGGCAGAAGCAGACGCTCGTAGTCTTCCTCCCAACTACCAGAGCAGGCTTCAGTCAGGGCCAGAACCAGCTCCTCTGCACACACACACACACACACACACACACGCATCAATAACTCACACTACCAGAGCAGGCTTCAGTCAGGCCTAGAACCAGCTCCTCTGCAAACACACACATTTCAATAACTCTGGGAATATCGAAGTGTTTATGATTATCAGATACCATTTTCTATGACGATCTTCAGGAGTCTGTGCTGTCCATTCCTGGCGCTGCCGAAAACATCCTTCAGCTCTTCAGCCGCTGAGGACGAGAGAACACACACTCAACAACACAATCACATTCACATTATACTGAGGACTGTCAATGAAGTAACCATAAAAACAAATAATCTTTATTTTTTATTTGTCAGAAACAGAGGAAACGTGTTTTGAGACACTGTGACTCATCATTATTTCATACAAACTGTTATTATTACATGTATAAGAATAATAGATGATGATGATGATTGAGGTATTGAGATAATATTATAATTTAATATTATAAGAATACGTTTTATTTTTATGTTACTTTAATATACATACTATAATTTTATATTATACATACTTTTTGCATAATTAGGCCTATGATTTTTTTATGTCATATTCTTACTTTTAATCTCATAAGTATGACTTAGAAAGAATGTCCTAATTTCAAGTAAGATTTCATGTCCTAATTGTGTTTTTTTCTCTAAGCTAAAACTGACTTAATAAATAAATGACAGTATGTCAAATTTCGCCTTTTTATGTCCTAATTCCTACGTTTTATGTCATAATCATGAGATTTTATGTCATAATCATTACTTGTATGTCATAGTTATGATTTACAAAAGCATGTTTTATTTCCTGATGAGGCGGAATGGGTTTAACTTTAAACAGGAAGTGTGATGAGGATGTATATTACAGTATGGTGATATATAGTGTGATGATGATGTATTATTATATATGGTGATATTATTATAGGCTGCATATGGCGCGTGAGCGCGCGCGCTGAAGGCGTTGCCCGTGCTCGAGATCACAGAAGCAAAACTCTGCCCATCTTTAAACACTCATACGATAAATAAATCATCAAGATGAAATTATTCATAACGCTGAGATCTGAGGGAAACCACTGCTGGCTGACAGACGCGGTTTATTTTCATTTTCATTGATTTCTCTAAATGAATCTCGGCGCTAAGAGAGTATGCCGCCGCTCATGCATTGTCATCATACAGATTCAGATTTATAAATCGTAAAAAAAAAATATCTCACTCTTACCCTGAATACCCGTTTGATGAGACATTATTTCACTCGGCGGATGATGTTTGGTGACTCTCGATCCCGGAAGAAGGAAGCAGAGCAGCGGTGACGTCACACGTCTCTGAAGCGTCAACCTCCATCTGCATTGCGCATGCGTGGACATCATTTTCTCTTATAATTTTTTTGTCTGTGTATGGTAGAAATACTTATTTTAGAAATGTTTATTAATACTTCTATGTATATTGCTATTTCGTTTTGTTCTAGTATCCTCTGAAATGCATATTGTGTCTTTGAACACATTTAAATAATTGTTTTAAAGTATATGAAAAAAAAGAATCATCGATGGAAACTTGAGTTCCTGCTGAAGCAGCTTTATAGAAGAAAACAGTGTCATTATTCAACTCAATTCAGTTCAGGCTTCTCCAATCAGAATTATTATGTTCTAAATATTAATTCTTTTATATTTATATCTATCTCTCAATATTTAAATAAAAAACACACACGTTTATTTATATAGCGCTTTATACAATACGCTTTATTCACTGTAAAATATATTGTTTGGAAATGTTATCATTATAGTTATTTATTAATATTATTGAGAAAAATGTTATTATTAAAAAGAGAGAAAGAGAGAGAACTGTCTCCATGTTGTGGCTGATTATGATGTTTTGTTTCTGTTTCTGTAATCGCATGTGGTGCGCGGACGCTTTGAACGACGCGCGTGAAATCGGACGCGTTGAACGAGCGGCGCACGGCGGATTATCATCATCATCATCATCATCATCATCATCACCATCACTGATGTCGGAAGGAAAGCACTGATATGGCGATGGGATCTGAATCTGAATCTCCGCACGACTGTCTGCGTAAGACTCTTTACATGTGTTATGATTCTCTGTGTGTGTATGTGCGTGAGTGTGTCGCTCATGGAACATGCTGGAAAACTGTGTGTTGCTCCTGCTTTGATCCCGACGCACGTGCTGCTGAGGTTAATGAACGGCTCCCAATTACACGAATCCACCTTTATTCTTTGCATATTATGTGCACGCGTCATGCAAAGGTATCATACGTGTCTATTATTTTGTTGCTGAGATTGATTGTTTTGACGTGTGATATTTGTTGTTTAAGGGAAGAGTTTCAGCGTTGCACAAGAAGCCATGAATGTAAACATAACCAAAACACACACACACACACACACACTGATAGACATTTGGACACACATACGGATAGATAGACCGATAGATATAACTGTAGATGAAATATTTACTTAAATATATACATTTTATTATATATTTTGACATTTCATCCAAACATGGACATTTGGTGAAAACATGGACATTTGGGGACACACACACACACACACACACGCTAAATGAGTCCTGCAGCACATGGTTTCTGAGCAGGCAGTTATTCCAGAAGTCTTGCATCATCATCGCACACTCATGTCAGATATTATTAGCCTTGAGGATTTGTGTGAAATGTCTGTCTGTATTTGTGTTTGTCTGTATGTTTGTCTGAATTTTGTTTATCTGAATGTTTGTCTGTATGTTTTTGTCTAAATGTTTGTCTTCAGGCTTTTTGTTTTAATCAAATAGTGTCAGTACAATCAGAACTATAATGTGTGTCTGTCTGTCTGTCTGTCTGTATGTGTATCTGTATGTTTGTCTGAATGTTTGTGTGATGGATCTGCCATGGGCGGGCTAAAAAAATTAGTCCATTGCCACAAAACAGGGAGCAAAGTAGTCTTCAATTGTGATGTTTTATTAAATCTTACTTACACAAGATAATAAGTGATCTAGCCTCATTAGAGAGGAAAAAGGCAAAAAAAAAAAAAAAAAAATTGTAACAGTTTAAAACAAGAAAGTCCAAAAATTGTATTTCATTCAGATTACATCACAGGAAAAATCCAGTATTCGAAAAGGACAATTGGGCTTGAGCCTCTTAAACTGACAAAGTACAAAATTCAACACCACCTTTCCCAGGGTACATTAACTTAAGTAACAACTTTCTCTAGACAAATATACACTGAATTTCTAAGAGGTGGCCAGCACCATGAAAACAAAGAAGGGGAAACAAAATTTCACAACAATAACAACACAAACCCTGGAATAAAAACAATACATTTAACTAAATTTAGAGCCATGGATAAATTGTAGTTAATGCAAAAGAATCATATTAAACAAAACATCACATTGATCAAGACATCACATTTTCCTATGTCCCCTCTAATACATCAGAGTTGGTACGGTTTCATTTCCTTTAGAATTCCCATAAAACAGATCAACTTCCTGTTTGAATCCCTTTGTCACTAGGCTGGTCCATACCACGACACAACAGGTACTAAACATTTCAAGTCATTTTAACTACAAAATGAACTAACAGTGTAAGCTATGTTTTTATAAATCACATTTTAGCCAAAGATGAATTTTAGCTGGTTTTAATGTTTTAATCTTAAGTCAAATAACTAAGCCTGTGCACCGACTCAGTACAATGACAAATAAAAATCTTAAACCAAACTATAGTAATGTCCTTTTATTTATAAATTAAATGCAAATCTGAATAGATAAAACTGTGTGCCTTAAATACTGGCCATCACAGTTTGTCTGTTTGTTTGTTTGTTTGTTTGTGTGAATGTTTGTCTGTTTGTTTGAATGTTTGTTTGTCTTAATGTTTGTTTGTTTGTCTGAATCTTTGTCTTAATGTTTGTCTGTTTGTTTGTCTTAATGTTTGTCTGTTTGTTTGTCTGAATGTTTGTTTGTTTGTCTGAATGTTTGTTTGTTTGTCTGAATGTGTGAATGTTTGTCTGTTTGTTTGAATGTTTGTTTGTCTTAATGTTTGTTTGTTTGTCTGAATCTTTGTCTTAATGTTTGTTTGTCTGTTGTTTGTCTTAATGTTTGTCTGTTTGTTTGTCTGAATGTTTGTTTGTCTAAATGTTTGTCTGTATGTTTTTGTCTAAATGTTTGTCTGTCTGAATTTTTGTCCAAACGTTTGTCTGTATGTTTGTCTAATTGTCTGTCTGAATGTTTTTGTCTGTCTGTCTGTATCCGTGTCTAAATGTTTGTCTGTCTGAATGTTTGTTTGTCTGTGTGTTTGTCTGAATGTTTGTCTGTGTGTTTGTCTGAATGTTTGTCTGTATGTTTGTTTGTCTAAATGTTTGTCTGTATGTGTTTGTCTGAATTTTTGTCTCAGAATTTTTGTCTGCATGTTTGTTTGTCTAAATGTCTGTCTGAATGTTTGTCTGAATGTTTTTGTCTGTTTGTCTGTATGCGTGTCTGAATGTTTGTTTGTCTGTGTGTTTGTCTAAATGTTTGTCTGAATGTTTGTCTGAATTTTTGTGTCTCAGAATTTTTGTCTGAACGTTTGTCTGTATGTTTGTTTGTCTAATTGTCAGTCTGAATGTTTGTCTGAATGTTTTTGTCTGTCTGTATGTTTGTTATGTGACCCGGATGAAATTAAATTTTCCAATTCATCCAAATTCATACTTGTGTAGACTGTGATTCGGATGGTTTAAATCATTATTTCATCCAGAAAAAAAAAAAGAAAAAAATGTGTTTTTCTTTTACTCACGCAAAACAAAATAAGATGACACAAAATGAGATGATTCGCTGAATGTTCTCACTGCTTTACATTGAAAGCAAACAGCTCAAAAAAAACCCCAACAACATACAAATATCATAAAGTGTCTCTTGTTGTGTTTCACGGCACAAAAGAAAGTGATATGGGTTTGGAACGACACGGGTGAGTAAGTGCCGGTTCTCTGCTGATTTATAATATGAACTGCAGGCCTGTGTTTGAAGCGTGTGTGTGTGTGTGTCTCTCAGGTGGACGGTGTCTTGGGTTCCTCCGACAGATGGAGGTTTACTCCAAGTTCCGCTATTATTTCCAACACCCGTGGTCCCGTGTTGTCGTGGCCTACCTCGTCACCTTCTGCAACTTCCTGGTGTTCGCCGAGGACCCGGTGTCGCACAGCCAGACGGAGGCGCACATGATCGTGGTGGGGAACTGCTTCTCCTTCGTGGTGAACAAATACCCCGGCGGAGCCTGGAACGTCCTCAAGGTCCTGATGTGGGTCATCGCCATCATCACCGGACTCATCGCCGGGAAGTTTGTGTTTCATCGACGCCTGTTTGGTATGTCCGTGACTTCATTTCTTGTGGAGCGTGTGAGTGAGTGAGAGAGAGTGTGTGCGTGTAAGTGATGGGCCGTTTGAGTGTGTTGTGTTTTCAGAGCTCCTGCATGATAAATGATGCATCTCAGCCTCGATATGAACACGCTGCATGAATCTCATTAATAATAAACATCCAGAGTTAGATAACAGCCGTCCGAGGCTCAAGAAGTTTCTTCATTTTAAAGTCAAAATTAAATCAAAATTGACCTTGTTTACTTTGTACATACACATGAGCATTGGCTCATTTTTTAATGCATTAAAATATGCATTTTACAGATACAATTTTCCTGCATATATCTGGTATATTAGTGCACATGCATGAAAATGATGAAGTATAATTCATCCTTCTATTCATTTAGTGAAAAACATAATTTTTTTTTTAAAGAAAGAAATTAATACTTCATTTCAGCAAGAATGCGTGTCTGTGGTTTTGTGTCTCTTAAAGTCGGAGTAAATGTGATGTTTTAATCAGAACGGATCAGACTCGTTGTGAATGTTCATTGATCGCGTTGTTAATTGGGCCCAAACGGAATCGATCGACACACTTTTGTTGTGTTTTCTGTGCTGATTTTGGGTGAGATTTGAATTTGTTGAATTAAACATGGCAAAGTGTGTTAAATGGAGCTGAGCTACTTCAGTCTGACGGCACAATTAAATGAAACCAGCTCAACACATTAATGAGTGCACTGGCTCGTGTTAATCAGGCCGTGCAATTACGCAGAAATCAAGGAACGCTAGTCTGTAGAGATTCAGATCTGGATGAAAAAACAATTAACGACACGGAAGTAGAACCGGAGAGATTTCAAAGCGAACGATGGTATCGGAATCAAATTAACGTGATGCTTGTTGACGGTGTGTGATAAATGCTGTTAAAAGATGCCATAGATGTTGTGTTAAAGGATTAGATCACTTCAGAATAAAAGTTTCCTGATAATTTACTCCTCCATGTCATCCAAGATGTTCATTTCTTTCTTTCTTCTTTCTTCGGTTTTTGAGGAACACAACTTGCACTAGCTCTGCGACATGCCGCACATTACGTGATCAGGTTGTAAGGTCAAGCGTGACGTAGGCGGAAGAACCGACCCTGTGTTTACAAAGCCAACGTGCTAAAACAAAAAAACCAAAACAAAAAAAGTCAATCGTCATTTACTAAATAAATAAATTACAGGTAAAACAACGATGTCGGATGATTTTGAAGTTAAAAATCTAAATTTCTTTTCCAGTGAAGAAACAAAGACTGGTGGAGGAGAGTAAATTATCAGGACATTTTCATTCTGAATTAAACTAATCCATAAATATGTATAGAATTAATATTGGACTGAATAACAAACACAGGCTGAAACTCATTGCAGGAGTGTGTTGAGGTGTGTGTGGGTGTCAGTAGAGGGCAGTATCTACATATTTTTGTTTTTGCTGTGAAAAATAATGAGAACAGTCGTGTTTGGTTAGTACAGCATCCCCAAAAGTATTTGCTCTCGCACTTATGAATGTCTGAATGTCAGTGCATTAGGTCATAAAGCGCATTTATTATTCAGAAAGAAACACTTTACAATCTAAACACTGACACATTTGCAATGCTAAATCCTGAGCTACTCCTGTTCATTCACTAAAACACCGGAAGAGAACAGATCCTGCCGCGTTTGATCTGCACAAACATATATTTATGGGGCGATTTATGAGTAAGAAATGAAAAAATCATTCTCCAGCTTTCATCTTTCATTCATCATTGATGATTTTGTGTGTTTTATTCCAGTGGAATGTTTTTAGATTGACTCGTTTTAAGGATGTCTGCGAGTGTTTTCACCGGTGAAAAGCAAATATGTGAAACGCCATGCAGGAAAATGAGCTGATGAATAAAGGAATGGCCGCATATGTGTGTGTGTGTGTGTGTGTGTCTTCAAGGACTTTACAAGTGACGTTTTAAAGGAAAATTCTGTTTTTGAAGCGGGTGCATTACAGTTTATACACTACCAGTTAAACGATTGGAATGAAGAACATGTTTCTGAAAGAGTCTCTTCTGCTTATCAAAGATGCATTTATTTGATTACATATAGAGTTAAAATTCTGAAATATTACTATTAAATCATCTGTTTTCTATGTGAATTTATAGTAAAGTGTAATTTATTCCTGTGATCAAATCTGAATTTTCAGCATCATTACTCCAGTCTTCAGTGTCACATGATCCTTCAGAAATCACTCTCATATGATGATCTGATGCTCATTTATGATTATTATCAGTGTTGAAAACAGTCATTTACATTTTATTTCTCAGGATTATTTGATGAATTGAATGTTTAAAAGAACAGCATTTATTTGAAATATAATTTTTGTAACATTATAAATGTCTTTACTGTCGCTTTTGATCAATTCAATGTATCCTTGATAAATAAAAGTATTAATTACTGTTTTTTTTAGTTATATAACCCTACACTTTTATGTGTATCACAGTTTGAATATGAAGCGATATGTTTCTTGAGCATCAGATCATCATATTAGAGTGATTTCTGAAGGATCATGTGACACTGAAGACTGGAGTAATGATGCTGAAAATGCATCTTTGATCACAGGAATAAATTACACTTTACTATATATTCACATAGAAAACTGTGTTTTTAAATAATAATAATATTTCACAATTTTTACTGTATTTTTTTGGTTAAAATAAAAGCAGCTTTGATGAGCAGAAGTGACTCTTTTAATTGTTGACCCATGGATGACAAAAGTGAGAGAGGCAGAAGCTCCTGTACGTGTTTCCAGTAGACAATGAAGCGCACATCAGGCCTGATTAATCGATCTGACCGTCGTTTCCATGGAAACCGCCTCCGGAGACCCAGCAAAGCCGGATCTTTGAACCTGCGTATAAATGCCCTGTGATGAATGAGTTTCTCCCGGTGTGGTTCTGCCGAGACCCGTTGGATCTGGTTGGTTAAGAGAAGCCTAGATTCCCCCAGTGGGGCCCTGGGCCCCTGGAGGGCCTCCTCACACTGTTTTTAGCACACATTATAATGATAATGAATGTTGCACAGATGCAAAGAATCATCTTTGTGTCGGTAGTATTTATATCCAGATGGTTTTGGAGCTTTATTAGAGTGTGTTTTAACCTTAAAACTGGCTTTCTGGAGCACGAACCCAACACCTCTGGCCTGATAATCTACTGGAGGAAATGAGGAAGAGCAGTCAGTGTTATCGAGACATGGATGGATGGATGGATGGACGGATGGATAGATGGATACACAGACTAGATAGACAGACAGACAGACGGATAAATGGATAGACAGATAGATAGATAGACACACAGACAGACGGATAGATTGACAGCTTGTAGTGCCTCAAACTCAGTTTCAGTTGCAGTTTCTCGTGTGTGTGTGTGTGTGTGTGTGGGTGTGGGTTTCCAGCAGAGGGCGACATCTGTCAGGACATCAGAGCTCAAGTGCTGCTGGGAAGATCCTGCTTATGAGTCTTTATGAGGTGATTCTAGTGAATCATTTGTTCTAGAATCAAATGACTTATTGGACAATTTCTTTCTCAAATTTAAGTTAACATTTCAATAATTTAACAACACGCACGTTTGTTTCTCTTTTTATCTAAGAATTGTGTTATAAAGTCATAATTGCAAGAAATAAAAAAAATTTCTTCAAGTTTTTATTATATCACACAGTTCATATGAAAACTCGCAGTTATCTTTTAAAATGTTTTATTCTGTGGCGGAAACAAGCTAAACCATCTAAATGCAAATGGACCGACATGTAAATATGAACTCAATTACGATCAGCAGTGCTTGACTTTTACCTTGATTTTCGTAGTAGTGTGAGTCAATAGCAAAATATGGCTATTTTGAATTTTCATACAGTTTTGTGTAAAACATGTCAGTCTGATATAATACTGCACTTTTTGTAAATGTAGAAGCTCATCCGGATGTTCCATACTTTGTGTGAATACTGTGTACATTGAACATTCTGCAGTATTATGAGCATTGTGCATATGAGTAGTGTGAGTATGAGTATTGTCACTTGTCAGTATTATACACAGATAATATATAATACAGTGCAAGTAATATTAGTGTGAGTATCATGAGTAGTGAGTATCAGTGCGAGTATCATTAGTGTGAGTATCATAAGTAGCGTGAGTATCATTAGTGTGAGTATAATGAGTAGTGTGTGTATCATTAGTGTTAGTATCATGAGTAGTGTGAGTATCATCAAGTCCTTTTAGGCAAGTCGTGCCACTCGGCCGCCATCTTGTAGAGTATCATGAGTAGTGTGAGTATCATGAGTAGCATCAGTATCATGAGTAGTGTATGGAAGTGTGTGTATTATTAGTGTGAGTATCATGAGTACTGTGAGTAGTGTGAGTATCATGAGTAGTGCGAGTATCGGGAGTAGTGTATCATGAGTAGTGTGAGTATTATGAGTAGCGTGAGTATCATGAGTAGTGTATTATTAGTGTGAGTATCATGAGTAGCGTATCATGAGTTGTGTGAGAATCGTGACTATCATGAGTAATGTGAGTGTTATTAGTGTGAGTATCATGAGTAGTGAGTAAGATGAGTAGTGTGAGTATCATGAGTTGTGTGAGAATCGTGAGTATCATGAGTAGTGTGAGTGTTATTAGTGTGAGTATCATGAGTTGTGTGAGTATTATAAGTGTGAGTATGAGTCGTGTAAGTATTGAGGATTGAGTATTGAGTGAGGTTGAGAACATTCAATCCTGCTGTAATGAGGAATTACAGTTTTAGAATGATTGTTAGTTTGTGTCTGAGAAACAGACTGTGTGAGATCATGATCATAATCATCTGTTATTGTACAGTGAGAAGCTGGAGATAAATGCATGCTAATGGACACACACACACAGTCTCGGATCAATAAATACCTGATTTCCCTGTTAATTAATCAATTGACCCGCCCCAGTTTCAATTAACCACTGCACACTGAAGACTGTAGCACATTACACGTTACACACTACACATTACAATATATACACTACAGAAAACACACTGCACACAGCACTTCAGAATATGAGCTCATAAATAATTATCATAAAACGCTCCTCCAAAGGACACATTTTCCTTCTGTCGAGTAATAAAATAAGAAGGCCGCTGTTAATCATCCGGTGTGTTTTCCTCAGGTTACGAGATCTTGTCAGCACTTTACGGTGGTTTTATCACTCATCGTCACGGTTTCCATGGAGACGGGTGGTTGGTTAACGGGCAGAAGAGGTTAAGCAGACGGGTGGAGTTGAGAACGTGTGTGTGTTTGATGCTGATGTGTCCTCGTGGGGGTTCGACATCTCTGATTGGTTGATCACGACGCAGATGTTGCAGATACTGCCTGAACTCACTTAAAATCTGTGATGATGCGACCCGTCATGCTGAGATTCTGATTGGCAGGAACATCTAGACATGAAACGGCCACCTCATCATCATCATCATCATCACAGGGTCATTTTAGATTTTGCATCTTGTGTGTGTGTGTCAGTATGTTTGAGCGTGTGGTGTGCACGCAAGTATGTTTGAGTGTGTGTGTGCGATGAAATCATAGTGCTCTCCAAAGCGGCTATATATATAAATTAACTAAATTAATAACTTTTTAACAATAAAAATTAAACATCACTGAACGAACTTAAGCTGGACTGTTATTTTCTTCTTCTTGAAAAATATTCATATTTAATTCTGTTGCATTATTTTCCTGTTATCTCTGTAAAGCTGCTTTGAAAACACTCAAAGCAGTTTTACAAAGCAGTATTGTAAAAAGCGATATATATATATATATATATATATATATAAATGTGACTTGTACACACACACACACACACACAGCATATAGGAGTTTCCATTTAAAACCTGAACTAGCCTTTTTGCTGTGCTGCCGCTGATCTGTAGAGAACGACACCAGTAACCCCAGTAACACCACACAGACTGGGCGAGTGTAAATGCCACGACTGTCTCACTGGGGCAACATTAGTGCCAGGAAACATCCACTGGTCATTAGAGGAATGAAGGAATGATCACGGCTTGTTCTCGCAGCTGAAGTGAGTCTGACAGTTCGAGGGACAGAAGGAAACGTTCAGGTCTGATGAGCAGGATCATCTGTGTGTCATCACCACTGATTCAGAGAGTGTGTGTGTGTGTGTGAGAGAGAGATTTTCAGACTTGGATGTTTTGATTTAGCGTAACAATTTTTTTATCGACTCCAAATGAGATTTTTCTGTCTGGCCGAGACGTGATGCAACTTTAAGAAAGCTAAGTGGAATACATAATTCTCTTTGAGAAGAGTTGTCTTGATGTTCCCCGATAACTGTGAACGAACTGAGTCGATCCTGGATCTCTGAGCGACGGAGCGGCCGAAACACAAGCGTCGCCGCAGGAACACAGGTGTGGAGATCACGAGTTATGAGTGTTTACGAGCTCATGAATCATAATGTCCTTGATCTCATCCGGTTTATTGTATTATGAAGCGTTCTGTAACTTTCACAGCTCAAAACTTCCACTAGACAAACTAAAAGAAATGTATTGATTTTTGTTCAGTTTCAGTGCTTTCACAAAGGAGAGTCAGTTGAGTTCAGTGAAATAAAACCTCTAAGATCAGATAGACTTATTTTATTACTGTACATTTGTTATTTGTGTGTTTGTATGTCTATTAGAGCATTGAGTTGTTAATATCTATCCATACATCATCACTGCATCCATCCATCATCCCTGTATCCATCCATCCATACATGCATACATCATCACTGCCATCACTGTATCCTTCCATCCACCCATCCATCCATCCCTGTATCCACCCATCCATCCATTCATCCCTGTATCCATCCATCCATCCATCCTTCCATCCATCCATCCTTGTATCCATCCATCCATTCCTGTATCCACCCATCCATCCATCCATCCATCCATCCATCACTGTATCCTTCCATCCATCCATCCATCCATCCCTGTATCCACCCATCCATCCATCCATCACTGTATCCTTCCATCCATCCATCCCTGTATCCACCCATCCCTGTATCCACCCATCCCTCCATCCATCCATCCATCCATCCATCCATCCATCACTGTATCCTTCCATCCATCCATCCCTGTATCCATCCAGCCATCCATCCATCCATCCATTCATCCCTGTATCCATCCATCCCTGTATCCTTCCATCCATCCATCCCTGTATCCATCCATCCATCCTTGTATCCATCCATCCATTCCCGTATCCACCCATCCATCCATCCATCCATCCCTGTATCCATCCAGCCAGCCATCCATCCACCCATCCATCCATCCATCCATCCATCCATCCACCCATCCATCCCTGTATCCACCCATCCATCCATCCATTCATCCATCCATCTATTCTTGTATCCTCCCATCCATCCATCCATCCATCACTGTATCCATCCATCCCTGTATCCATCCATCCATCACTGTATCCATCCATCCCTGTATCCATCCCTGTATCCATCCATCCATCCACCTATCCTTGTATCCACCTATTCATCCAGCCATCCATCCATCTATCCCTGTATCCACCCATCCATCCATCCATCCATCTATCCTTGTATCCACCCATTCATCCATCCATCCATCCATCCATCCCTGTATCCACCCATTCATTCATCCATCCATCCATCCATCCATCCATGCATCCATCCATCACTGTATCCATCCGTCCGTTCATCCGTCCATCCATTTGTCAGTGCGGATGTCCCCTATGTAGGGCGTAGGCAGCAAGGGCAGCTTATTAGGATTGATAACTGAATCTATTAAATCTAGTTTAAATGCTCGACGCGTGTGTAATGATCAGACTCTGTGCGTGTAAGCGCTACTGACAGCGTCTTTAACTTCAGTCTTCTTTAATCGCTTTAAACAGACACTCGTGGAAACTTTACACTGAAATCACCTCCTCCGCCACAGTGTCTCACTGAAGGGCACGATTAAACATTCAGAGCGGATCCACGGACATCCGAATCAATCTCACGCTCTCAGAGAGAGCCGGAGCGCGCCGGAGACAAAGAAAGATGTTCCGGACTGTCATTTGATCCTTCGGGTGAAAGAAAATAATGGAAATTTCCTCACAGGTCATGAATAGCGTGACTGTAATGATGCCGGCCTCTTCATGAAGCCAAACCTCGGGTTCTGAGAATCAATCGCTGTTGAAGAAATTACAGAAGCTTTATCTATCGGGTTTATTCGCTCTACTAGGCAGAACTTGGCGCCCAACGCGGGGACAGACGGTTTAATCAGCAGAAATTACAGGTTGAAGAGATGATTAGTTGTATGGAGCTCTCCAGGTGTAATTATCGCGTCTGGATCATATCAGTGAAGGTCGTGCCGTTATGAACAGAAACTGCCTGCGCTGCAAGCGTATCATTAACTTAAATGAAAACCATTAAACATATTTTTGTTCATTTAAATAAAGCTTATGAGAAACATCGAACAATCTTCATGCACGATATGTTTATGTGTCAAGCATGGAAACGTGTGCATCACTCATGTCGCCTTTTAGTGACAATTGTAGTCAAAAGTAAATATATTCAGACACCTTCTCACATTTATCACAGTTTATTCGCTATTGTTGAAAATGGTAGTAAAATATGAGCAGAACTCAGCAGATATTTGACTGGTTTTGTCCGTTCTTCTGTTAGACTCTCACACATGAATTATATTGAATATCTAAGTCCACAATTAGATAATACCAGTTTAGCTCAACCAGTGACCAAGCAATGCTTCATGTTGTTCAGAGCATTAGCACTTACAGAAAACACACTTCAGCAGAACATCATCAGCTCAAAGTGGAGGAGTCATTTTTACTGGTATTCACTGTATGAAGAATATTTGGGTATAATATGTCACAGTTTACTTTATTTTGCTCTCCTCACTTTCATAATTGATCTATAGTGTCCTGATCACACTAGTGAACAAATATCTGAATGATGTTGTTTGACTGTAGCTGCTCTGTTGTGTCTCAGGTCGTGTCCTGCGTCTGAAGATGTTTCGTGAGGATCACGGCTCTTGGATGACCATGTTTTTCAGCACGATTCTCTCGCTCTTCATCTTCTCTCACATCTATAACCTCCTCCTGCTCATGAACGGACAGATGGGGTAAGAGGAATCGTCTACATTCATTTAATTAGGAGAGACTTTTTAAGAGTTATTCATTCATTTCCTCTTGGCAGTCATCAGGAATTTAACGATTTCTAGCTCTTTATTTCCCTTTATGATTCTTTTTATGCTTTTTTAGGAAGCACCCGATAATTGGTCATAACCATTAGTAGTGTCAGTATAGTAATGACTTGTGAATTGCGAAATGAGTCCAGAAACGCTGATTGATTCGAACAAAAAACTGAGCGGTTCAATTCTTTGAATGTGTTTGAGTGATTCATGATTCGTTTTGAGTGAATCCATTACGAACGAACTGGCAGATTTGTTTGTTCGTAGCCTACGTGATAACAACCTCAAGTATGATTTGTGAGTGTTTTTGAAAGATTTACTGTAATATAAAAAAAAGCACCAAAATAGTATATAAAAAAAATATCTATGGCTTTGACAAGCAAGTAAGAAATTTATTTGTATCATTTCACAGATAAAAATAACAAAGTGCTTCACAACTAAAGGAGGAATACACAACATTAATAAATACATTACAATACATAATCCAAAATATACAAGTATATAAATCTGTTTTATAATTTATTTGTTGTAATTTGCTATATCATTTTTCATTATATGTGACTTATTTTACTGATAAGTTTGTGTGTGTACATGCATAGATAAATATCGTGAACCATCCAGAACAGCTAATTTATTCAAACTGAAGGGTTTGAATCTTTCTATTCATGATTCTTTTTGAGTGATTCAATTAAATAAACCTGTTCATGAAGTATATTTGTTTTTAAATTAAGATACATAATAACCGGAGTTCAAGATTGATTTGTTGGTGTTTTTAAGGGTTTACCACAATTCACACACACACAAAAACACCAAATGTGTGTAAAAATTGGCTTCAAGTATATAAATCTATTTGTTTATTAATTTATATATGTTTATATATATTTATATACATATAGCGAATACTTATTTGAAAAAAAATTATATATATATTATATATATATATATATATATATATATATATATATAGTTTGAAGTGGCAACATAATAACCAAAGAGTTGACTGATTTGTGAATGTTTTTGAAAAACTCATTAAAGAGAACGAGGCAAAAGAATATCTCCCGAATCAACTACACTGATTGTTCTGTATGATTGTTATTGCATACGGAAACGAAACAGAAAGTACTTGCAGATTCAAAATTAAAACATAATTTCCGTCATTGCACCGCAAATCTGAATAAGTATGTTTCTCTATTCCCGGCCCTGTTCTTCATCCTCTTTGAGGAATTGAATTGACCAGCCGTGCATGAGTCCATTAAGCTTTAAGCACTTTGAAGCAGTGACCCAGGGAACCAGCGTCTCCAGTCTGCTTTACATTATCATCAGGGACAGAAGATCAGCACGTGCGCGTACAGTCAACCGTGGGCCGTTTGAGAACGCGCCACCACTTCAATTTCACACAACAAGATGGATGCCTCACTTACGGTTTGATTCGCCATCTAATGTTCAGCTCTGCACACAGCAAATGCTTTCACATTACAGACGACTGTTTGGAGAACAACTGCACCATTTTTCTGTGAGATTGAATGTTGAGTGATCGTTCCACCATACATCTTCTCAAGGTTAAACCTGTGGAAATCCTGCCGGTTGTTTCTCGGCATAAACGCAGCATCAGAATGAACACACACTAGTTTGACTGCGTGTTTGACAATAGTTTCACGCTAGTTTGACAAACCATCAGCCAAGTGTTTGGCTGAAGGTTTGGATGTGTTTGGTTGATGGTTTAGATGTGTTTTGTTGATGGTTTTGATGTGTTTGGTTGATGGTTGATGGTTTTGATTGTTTAGATGTGTTTTGTTGATGGTTTTGATGTGTTTGGTTGATGGTTTGGATGTGTTTGATGGTTTTGATTGTTTAGATGTGTTTTGTTGATGGTTTTGATGTGTTTGGTTGATGGTTTGGATGTGTTTGATGGTTTTGATTGTTTAGATGTGTTTTGTTGATGGTTTTGATGTGTTTGGTTGATGGTTTGGATGTGTTTGATGGTTTTAATTGTTTGGATGTGTTTGGTTGATGGTTTTGATGTGTTTGATGGTTTTGATTGTTTGGTTGATGGTTTGGATGTGTTTGGTTGATGGTTTTGATGTGTTTGGTTGATGGTTTGGAATGGATGTGTTTGGTTTTAATTGTTTGGATGTGTTTGGTTGATGGTTTTGATGTGTTTGATGGTTTTAATTGTTTGGATGTGTTTGGTTAATGGTTTTGTTGTGTTTGGTTGATGGTTTGGATGCGTTTGGTTGATGGTTTTGATGTGTTTGATTGATGGTTGATGGTTTTGATTGTTTAGATGTGTTTTGTTGATGGTTTTGATGTGTTTGGTTGATGGTTTGGATGTGTTTGATGGTTTTGATTGTTTAGATGTGTTTTGTTGATGGTTTTGATGTGTTTGGTTGATGGTTTGGATGTGTTTGATGGTTTTAATTGTTTGGATGTGTTTGGTTGATGGTTTTGATGTGTTTGATGGTTTGGATGTGTTTGGTTGATGGTTTGGATGTGTTTGATGGTTTTAATTGTTTGGTTGTGTTTGGTTGATGGTTTTGATGTGTTTAATGGTTTTGATTGTTTGGATGTGTTTGGTTGATGGTTTTGTTGTGTTTGGTTGATGGTTTGGATGCGTTTGGTTGATGGTTTTGATGTGTTTGATTGATGGTTGATGGTTTTGATTGTTTAGATGTGTTTTGTTGATGGTTTTGATGTGTTTGGTTGATGGTTTGGATGTGTTTGATGGTTTTGATTGTTTAGATGTGTTTTGTTGATGGTTTTGATGTGTTTGGTTGATGGTTTGGATGTGTTTGATGGTTTTAATTGTTTGGATGTGTTTGGTTGATGGTTTTGATGTGTTTGATGGTTTGGATGTGTTTGGTTGATGGTTTGGATGTGTTTGATGGTTTTAATTGTTTGGTTGTGTTTGGTTGATGGTTTTGATGTGTTTAATGGTTTTGATTGTTTGGATGTGTTTGGTTGATGGTTTGGATGTGTTTGGTTGATCGTTTGGATGTGTTTGGTTGATGGTTTTGTTGTGTTTGATTGGTTGATGGTTTTGATTGTTTAGGTGTGTTTGGTTGATGGTGTTAATTGTTTGGATGTGGAACAGGTGTGATGCGGTCTCCCACAGATAGGTGGCACTGTTGTACAGTCAGACGAGCAGCTCTCTCTCTCCTCAGGACTCGTCTGTCTCTCTCTCTGTCTCTCTGACTGCAGGTGTCTGATGTTTTCGCTCTGTCATGAGTAATGATTGTTTACAGCGCTGAGGAGAGGCGAACCCCGGCGCTCGCGGCTCAAACCCTCTCATTCACACACGGGTCTGATGCTCGTGTCATTATATTCTCGCCGTGACTCTGATTCACTCTCAGAATAAACGTCAGATTAACCTCAGAGTGTCTGAAGTGTGTTGATAACAGGAACCTCAGTTTCTGCTACGGTTACTTGTGATCTTCATTTAGTGACATTTTGATTGTTTTAATGACAGTGTACTAAATGACTGCTCTCTTACTCTAGAACTGGTTGCATGATACATGTTTGTCTCGTGTTTATGGTTGTATGAGGAAATTATGTCATATTTCATCCCAAATCAAATGGAAAATCGAAATCAAATCAGAATCTGTATGTCTCTCTCAGCATCTGTTGCCTCTCATCCTTCTCATTGATATTCTTTTATTCTCTGTGACCCACACACAATAACACCCACTCAACCCCCCCCACACACACACACACACAATAACACCCGCTCAAACCCCCACATAACACTCTTAACAACCAGTTCTGCTTCCTCCCCCTTCACACACACACACACACACACACACACATTCTTGTTCATCTATATTTGTGAGGACATTCATTGAGACAATGCAATCTCTAGCTCCTTACCCTAACCCTGCCCAACTCAACTAACTAGGCGACCCGAACCCTAACCCTAAACCGACCCGTAACCGAAATATAACCTGATCCCTAAAACCAAGTCTTGACCCTCAAACAGGCCTTTAAAGCCTCAGATTAGTAAGAACCGGCCAAAATGATGGTCTAAAACTCAAACCGGTCCTTACAATTATAGTTGTACAAGCTCACACACTCTTACACACACACACACAGGCGGCCGCTCAACATGGTTGTGATTGAAATGAACAGAACGTTCACATTCTCTCTCTTCATGTCATATAAATGCTGTTGAGAGTCTGGAAGTCCAAACCATTTCATTGCAAATTCTCAAAAATCATAATATCCTTTATGACATGATTTCCACCTTTATTGCATCATTACTGCAGCTGCTCTCCTGACTACTTCATCCGGTATGGTGTGGGCGGGGCTTTTGAGAGGGGGCGGAGTCAGCGTTCAGCCCCTGTAACCCATCACCGCTCGAGGCTCAGTTACAGGCATACATCATGTGCTAATTAAGCAGCGTTTATTTAATTAAGAGTGCAGATCGCATTACTCACGGCCAATTAGAAGTCGCAGCGCCAACCGTCTGAGAGACACAGAAACCAGTGCAATAACATCAGACATTGTTGGAAATCCCACAATGCATTGCAACATGAAGCTCTTGCCATGTTCTTGTTATAACGTCACGTTAAAATACCAAGTGTTACGTTATACTCAAGTTATTCGTAAATAAATCACGAAGGCAAACGGACGGATCAGCTTTATTTGTAGGGCAACCGTATGATTTGTAAGTTCCCCAAGCCGTAAAACTCAGTAAGATCATCAGGAATAAGGTGGATATATTCTAGTTATGAAGCTTTAGCAGTTGATGAGTCAGAAGTCTTACACATTCACAGATAATCTCAGTGGATTTTGTCAGCGTGGCACTGGTGGGCAGTAACGGCTCCAGTGTAATTGAAAATCCTGTTGGGTCTCTAGATAAATGTTGTGTTTGTGGCGAAGAAGGTGTGATGATTCGGACACCACATAATCAATATCAGAGTGAATGAGAATATCTC